CCATGCTTCCTTGGTTTTCAAGTTCATCCCTTGTCTGGAATTACTTCTAATGTTCCATGCTGACAAAACTTTTATATCTTCTTCTATTAGCTCTGTCAGAGGAACATCTGTTTTCAGTTTGTGAGCTCTTATAATTCCTCACAGTGGTATTGTCCTTGGCAGGAACGTTGTCTCAGTCAGTTTGATGAGGAAACGAAGGTTTGAACCTTGCATTGTTTTCTTTACACTAGATTTTACAAGCATCTTTCTAATAACTGGAAGCAGGGCAGGGTACATTTGAAAGTTTTTGATATCTATGCCAACATAACAGTTTTTGTACAGATTTCAAAACAAAATAAGCCAATAGGGCTGGGTATCAAACTTTGATACTTTCACCAACTGACCAAACTGTTTCGATACTATCAAGGATTGAGAAATACATTGTCATTTGATACCATTTTTTTATTACCAAAGGACTAAATGAGTAAATCTCAGTAGCATCAGTGAGCCAATCAGCATGCAGCATGCTTGGACCAAGATCTAATAATGCTAGTGATTGGCTAGAATTTGTACTGTAATGTGTGTTTTGTGAATTTTCTTTTTCGTTAAAATGGATTTGATAAAATTTGTATCAAAAATATCGTTAAGAATCTGTATTGCAGTCAAGGTATCGGTACTGATATTGGACATTTTTAAATGATTTTCAAGTGAATTTCTATTTATATAGCGCCAAATCACAACAGAAGTTATCTCAAGGCATTTTTCAACTAGAGCAGGTCTACACCGGACTCTATAACACTGATTGACCCATCAACCCCCATCATAAGCAAGCACTTGGCTACAGCAGCAAGAAAAACTTCCTTTCAAGAGACAGAAGCCTTGAGCAGAACCAGACTCAGGATGGGCGGTCAATAACAGCCCTTAACTTTTAACTTACACATTTTGTTCAGCAAAATAATCTTCACAAATGAGCATCACTTTATGATGTTTGAAGCCTTAATACAATCAGCAGAAGTAAAGAGCTAATGTCAGGCTATAAACCAACTACACCACGGTCACATGACTTCAGCCTCACCACCACTAAACTTCAGCTTGTAGTTTGATTCAGCTCTGACCTCTTCTTCCAAAGCCTTTCCTCTGACGGAGTTAGAGACAGTTTGTATAAACACAATGAGGCTGTAAAGGTGGACTGGAGAGTAGATCAGTTTTCATGTTCAACGTGATGATGTTTAATGACGTAAAAGCTTCAAGAAATCAGGGCTGGGGTATTTAATGATGGATTTTATGTTGTAGAATTTATGTTGCATTAACAACAGACCTTATTTCAGTCATCTCACCAAAAACACATTCATAAAATCCAGAGACTCCAGGACCAGGGAACAGGAAGTGCAGAAATGCAACTAATTTCCTGGTTTAATGCTCATTCCTGCAGCGATCTATAGAGAACTGTCTCACTTCCACACCAGCTTCTTCTCCACTAGCTTTTATTCTATTAATTTTGCAAGTTGAATTGTTGCCTCTTTAACTGAACAGAAAAACAGAAGACTTATAAACGAGTTAATAAGGAAAAAGTCTGTTGTCAGTATAAAAGTACATTTGGACCAGGAACCTGATCTGCAGAGGGATTCTAGCTCTCAACAGCCGGTCTAGCTGCCACGGCTTGATTGCAGCAGTTTTGCTGAGTCACTAGAGGGGTGCAGGCAGGGTGTTGGTGTTGACAGATGGCCCAGGTGAAGCGATGCTGAGTGATGCTCAGATCCTCCCTCCCACAGATCGGCTCTATACATGCCAGAGGCCCAGCACTCTTGGATAATTTATACCACCTATTTATACGCCTCTTGTAACAGAGACTCTCTCCTGAGAGATGTTCATTAATGTTTGTTTCATGTTTCCTTTTCTCTATCCTCACACAGAGTTCGCTCCAAATACAGACCATTTGCTAAATGAAGACATGGGGGTGGTGACTCTGTTTGTATGAATGTAGTCTAATTTATCACATCATTTCCAGAGCATTAACTCCAAGAGTCATGTCATCAGCTGTTGCCCTGCCCATCTTTTAGAGAAATGAGGGGAAATCACTCTTGAACTTCATCTTCTACAATCTACTCATTTAATCTGTGCATTTCTCTTAATAATTTTATAATCAGCCTCTGTAAAGGAAAGCTCACACTAAGTCTTTCATTATGAAATGGCTGGGATATGACTCACTGTGGACATAACTGTCCTGGTCAGTGGACATGGATCTAGAGGACATGTCACTGCAGATCAATGAGCATGGCCCGCACAGCAGGCTAGAACCATATCATTACACTTCCTGTCCACTGCTGTAAAATGACAGCAGTGTAAGAGGATCCATAAATCCAAGGTCGTCCATATCCACAGGAAACTGTCTGAATATGTAGAAAGGTTCATGTTGGCCATGAACATATGAAAGTGTTGCATATTTTCCAAGCCAAACTTAGAGGTCAGCATAATGTCACTCATACATTATTTTTAATGAGGTTATGTAACCAACCACTGACATTATTATTATGATGATGGCATTATTCTAAAAATAAAGCATGTATAGACTGTGTGAGTACCTCTGAGTGTGGCAGTGGAAACGTGTTGGACATCAGCAGCATGGCAGTAACCTCCAGAGAGAATAAGTGAACGTTTCAGCAGAGTTCGGACTAAATTGCCCCTTAATGAACATGAGCCACTGTACTGTCACTGTCACATATTGAGAGTTGCTATCAAATGTCTATTTGATCACATAGTCCCTGATTTTAATCAGGGCTGCACAATTAATCGAAATATAATCGAAATCTCAACATGGCCAAGTGCAATATCCAAATCAGAGGAGCTGCCATTTTTTGGATAAAGGTCAAATGTGTCACATTGTTGTGCATTCTTAGCACTTAGGACTATAAGTGTTGTGGTGCCATGCCCTGTCCTACAAATCATATTCTCCAGATGTAAAGAAACGTGTTTGTTTGGTACAAGACCAACAAAAGTCACATCATCATCACTTTTATATTTTTTTTCTGTGAAAATCTAATGAAAAAACTTTGCTACCTTCAGGGCCTGTTTTCATAGCTCTGCTCTGACTGTACTGACCATGAAATTAGCTTTGCCTGTCTGTGTGGTGTTTTGGTGCCAAACTGCACAGCACACAGGTGGGAGGAGTGACACAAACAGGTGGGTGGTTCAGTCAGATGAGCCAGAGCAAAGCAAGTTGTTGGTATTTTGGTGGAAACTGGAGCTTAGACTTTTTGTTTTTCCTAGATTCTGGAACAACATGAATCTGTTGTTAGTAAAAAAAACAAGTTTAATTAATCGATCTTTGAAATCTTTCGTATATTTGATTTTAGCCAAAGTCCAAGAAGAATGAAGCCATTTAACTTGGCAAACAGGAATGTTTGACTAATTAAACTGTGATGAAAGCTCCATATTAAAGAACCTGCTGCAACAACAACAGTCAGTACAACCTTCATTAGTGAGATTCCATTCAGTGAAATGAGGCTCAGACTCTGCAGCAGAGCAGACTGAGCACTTTCCACTGCTCCACATACATGAACTAAAATAGTGGGTGATGTCCACACAATCTGTGCACCCTGTGTTGTTGTGTTGTTGTTGTACTTGCTAAGACTAGACTCATTACTAACTTTATTAGATTAGATAAAGTTTTGTAGCAAGAAATGTTGATGTTTCTCAAAGAGTCCAAAGGAATCTTGTTTTGGTGTCTGTAACATGTAACACATCCTACATGCAACACTTTAGGCTAGACTTTAGGCCACATGACCACCTTTTGTGGAGAGGATAATGGCTTCAGTGGTCATTGTCTCAGAGGGTGAACCATGTGTGTTTTTGGTGACCCAGCGTTCCACTTGCACATAATGTATTACAGAATATCACGGACTGATTGGCTGTGTTGTCAGTGTGTGTTTTGTTCCAGCCCTCTCTTGTACTGTGGCTTGTAATGAGCTCTGCAGCCTCTGGGCTCACTGACTGTCATATAACATTAAACCATGAAGACGACGCTAATGACTCACTTCTGTTCAGCTGTTGTAGGGATTAATGGAGTCATGCTGGGAAGCTTATTTTTATCTGACACCCTTTAATGTAAAACCCTCCTGCTCAGTGCAGCTAGAAAATGCTGTGAAAACTTTCATAATAAATGTAGAGGAATGTTAGTGTTCATCCTGAGGTCATTAAATTCAGGAAGGACAGTAACCATGTCTGAACATTGTCCGTGAAGAGGAGGAAGGCTTTGTGTGTTTTAACTGCTACAGTAACACAAAGACAGACATCCTCTGTCAGTGTGTTTGTCTGATGTAAAGAGCTGGTGTTGCCAGGAGACATGTGACCTGTCTGCCACAGGATTTTTATCACATATACATGATGAGTCTCGTCCTTTTTTTAACTTTTCAGGTGGTTTTCTTGTGTTTTCTTGTGTTTTTTAAAGGTGGCCCCAATATCAGAGGGAGATACAGTCAAGTCAAATCTCTACATGTTTCTCCTTTTCCAAAAATCACTACAAATTTCCTTTAGTGAGGAGTCAAACTCTACACAGAGAGGTGTTTATTCCATCATTGATTTCACATAATTCCTGCAGCACAAACAGTGAAACCAATACAATAAACCAGCCCTGATCTCACTTGTTGACAAAATGAAGTATTGATGTATAAAAGTACCAGTTTTTCTTTGGAAACATAAAATATATTATTTCTCTACAATTTTTTTGCAATTGATTTAAACCACTGGATTTTGAGAATGGTTGTTCTTTCAAGGAGACAATATATATTTCCTTAAATATTATTATTTGCTTGATTTACATTTGTCTCAGCCTATCACATTCAGCCATAAGTGTTGCTTCCAGGATTCATCCCCTGTCACCACATTTCAGTGTTCTGGCTCTAAGATTTCCCTGAGTAGTGATGCATAAGTCCAGGTTTCAGACTGACTGTTCAGTGGATTGTGGGTGACGACACCAGTTTTTCTCCACATATAAACATGGTTTCATTCCTTTTGCTTTTCAGGAGCCATTTGAGGATGGGTTTGCCAACGGAGATGAGCTGACCCCGGCTGAGGAGGCTGCGGCTAAAGAAGCAGCCGAGTCCAAAGGAGTGGTTAAGTTTGGCTGGATTAAAGGAGTCCTGGTGAGTCACTGATGAACTGCAGAGCTTTTAAAAAAAACTCATGAAATCTTCTGCTGTCTTCACCTGTTTTTACTTATTCTCCCTTCTTTACTCTGTATGAGTGCTGTGTTATTTAACATTTTAGACACACCTCAAGAAATAATATGTAGGTCAGTAATGTGCGTTGCTAATGTACCTTGGTGCATTCACAGTGTGAACCAACAGGTACACACAGCTTCTTCCTTTCGTCCAGCTCTTCACTGTCGTCAGAGTTTTTAAATCTGAAATACAACCACATCAAACAAATCAATATGTGGCGCTCAGTGCTGATATTGTGACAGGCCGCCACAAATAAATCAGTGTGTGGGAAACACTGATCCTGACACCCACATCTTAAAAGATTCTTTAACACAGTTAACGGTTAAATGAATATCCACATTATACAAAGTGCAAAACTCAAACTAAATGTTTCTTAAAGTTTTAAATCTCACACGATGAAACAACTTCACTGTTTGTTCATGTCTCTTTCTGTAATTAGCACAAACAGATTTGGCAGCTGAGCCGATGTTAATGTTTTGACCCGGTCATCTCTGTTCATGTTCATGTGGTCAGTTAAACTCAGGTAAACTGAGGTGAACTCACAGTAGTGGACCACAGGTGAGAAGTGTGCCACTACACAGTATAATTTGACCTGTATGTGTGAGTTGGTGACACTGTGTCAAGGATTCTGGAGCATGAGTGTGAATGATCTGTGGCTCAGATAGTGGTTGGTTGTTGGTTGGTCTGTTAGAAGAGCAGCTTAGAGCTGTGCTTCCTGCTCAGCTGTTTGATATGTTTCATTTTATTTAAAGCACAGTTAACAGAGGATGAATTTTTCATATTAAGACATGTCTGGATATTATCATCTTGCTTTTATTTTGGCATAACTATTCTTTCCTTCCTCTCTAATATAAACTTTCCACTTATTCTCATGTCTCCTAGTTTCTAATGGCTTTTATCAGTGGTGTGAGGTATTTTCTTATATAACAGTGTTACACTCACCATTTTTACCCCTGATCTGACCCCATATTTGTCCGCCACATATTGATGTAGTCTAACAGGGAGATCACACATATGAGGGTTCACCCAGACACAGATCAGATACATTTAACGTTGTTATTGCTAATTATCGAAAGACACGTTGTAGATGAACGATAGCGGTAAGTGCTAAGCTCACTGACAAACACTTTGCATTTCTTGTCACTACTTCATAATTAAAGTCAGGTTTTGTTTCACCAGTTAAATGCAGCAGGAAGTGTTAGGTTTGCATCAGCAGCCACACACACTCAGTTCATAATACTACAAATATATAAATGTTGAAATACTTTATCAGCCATAGACTGATTTGTTTAACATGGAAATATTTGAGAGGCCACTTTAAGCCCTAATGACAATCATGATGTTTTATTTCCTGTCAGCCCTGGACTGCTGGTATTGAAACCCTCCTGACAGTGAATGAAAAAAACTACAAGTTTTCTGTCTGTTTGAATATGAATTTATCATAAGAGACAACGAGCAGCTAAAGTCACTGTCCAGGACTAGTAGGTGGTGAACATCTTGTTGTGTAGACAGCTTCCTCTCACTGTCAGGAGCCACATGTAGCTTTCATTTGCTTTGTAAATTCTTCTCTCAGTCTTCTTTGAAAGATGAAAAACTTGATGCTCTGGTTGTATTGAACCTGCCCCCCCCCCCCTCCCTGCAGGTCCGCTGCATGTTGAACATCTGGGGTGTGATGCTCTTCATCCGCATGTCCTGGATCGTGGGTCAGTCTGGAATTGGTAAGTAGAGCTTGACATTTCTTAAACTGAAACCTGTTTATAATGATGCCCAGCTCTCAGTTCATTCGCAGCGTCTTTTCTTCACAATCAGAGAATGTAATCTGCCTGTGGTGAAAATTGTGGCAGCAGTCAATTGTTTGTTCCTTTTTAAAGCTGTTGAATCGTTCTGTTTCCTGTGTTGTAGTGACAGGCTGAGGAGAAGGTTGAGCAGACGACATTCTTCAGTACATCTTACATTTAAAAACATCATGTGTGAACTAGGGCTGCTCAAATAATCGAAATATAATCAAAATCACAATATGGCCAAGTGGAAAATCCAAATTGCAGGATCTGCTATCTTTTTGATAAAGGTAAAATGTCTCTCAACATTGTTGCCGTAGAGACGCCCCGGCCTACAAATCATATTCTCCAGACGTAAAGGAACATGTTTGTTTGGTACAAGATCCAACAACAATCACATCATCACCATTTTTACATTTTTTTCTGTGAAAATGAAAATGTAAAAATGACCATTCACACTGAAATCACAACATCTGCCAAAATAATTGCAATATGATTTTTTTTTTTGCATATTGTGCAGCCCTAGTGTGAACTTAAAAGTCACCTCTACATGTTACATCATTAATATTTGCACATCAGATGTTTTGATGCTCGATCTCATCAGCTGTCACGTCACTCTGAGGCCACAGACAACCACACACCTCGTTACTTTCCCAAGAGTTTCTGACACTTTGTAGTTTCTTCATAGTCAGTGTCTTTATTGTGGTCAAACTGTGGTGTGGTTGATTCATATTGGAAAACTGTGAAGTCACATGATTTGTGGTGAAGTGGGTGAGTAATTCGAAACCACTGGTCTGAGTGTGATGTGGATTATTATTGTTGAACCTTGCACAATGCTGTGTCACACCTGTACAAGATGCAGTCATAAAACTTTACAGGTGTGGAGCTGAAATCAAAATAAAGAGTGATTTTTAAAGATCAGTGTGATCCAACCCATGAGTACTGATGTAATAATGTAATAACTCGGAGTACTCAGGGGTCAGGGTATGAACATGTGATTTTTCCAATGATGCGACAACAACAAACTAAAATCCATTCACAGTTATATCATCCATAGAGAACCATTCAAAACCTAGGTTTCATAAAAACCAATACATTAAATCAACAAGTTATGAAATCAAATATAAAACAGAATCAAATGTGAAGCTGTCAGTAACAAGAAACATGAAGTGGGCCTGAAACTGACTTCAGTCATAAAGATTAAAGAGAGAACAGTAAAAGTAAAGTTACAAAAAGACGAGTAAAATCAGTAAAAGCTCCAAAAAACCAAACCACAGAAAAGAAAAACAACAGATTTAAGAGCTCATGCTGACTCAGCTGTTTTACTGGTTTGGAGGAGATATGAGACACATGTAAATCTGGACACATTAAACCAGAACTGTCTGCAGAGAAGTGACAAGCAGTTTTTTGTTATTTGACCCTTTTGTTACTTATTTTGATACTTCCCTTTAGATGCAGTGACCCAGGCCACAGAGAAACAAAGCCGTCAGTCGGTCTGGAGCCTGTGTTTTACTCTGATGTGACAGAGTCTTCACATAACTGACAAATTCAACCGTCACTGTGTAGAGAAGTCACTGAGCGGTGTGGCACACAGCCCGTGTTTACTGACATCCTGGTTCTTGCTGGGCGCTCATCTCAGACACCACACACACCTCCCTAATGTCCGTGACCCCCCCCGCGCCCCGACAGCATCTGTCCACAATTCTTCACTTTGAAGTGAAATATCACCACAGAGCGACACATGAGGCAGACTCGGCGGCGGCGGCCGTACCGTTATTTTTCACGACGTTCTCAGAGCGATTGGGACGCCGGCTAGAAAACTGTGACCAGTGCAGCACATTCTTTTCATTCGGGAGGTTCCTGAAGCTCACTCTCTGTTCTCCTCTGCAGCTCTCTCCTGCTTGATTGTTGCCATGGCAACGGTAGTGACGACCATCACCGGCCTCTCCACCTCTGCTATCGCCACCAACGGGTTTGTACGAGGAGGTAAACATCACTCTCTTTTCTACAATAACAGTTTGTAACCTTTGACCTCATCCTGATGTTTGGTGTGAATCCACCTGTGTGATTGTGACCAGTATGACCAGTTTGACCAGTTTGACCAGTTTGACCAGTTTGACCAGTATGACCAGCCTTCAGTCATTTACTACAGTCAGTTCTACAGAATCTCTCTCACAGCCCCAACAGATAAGAAATACATTTTATCTTAATGTTAATAATGTTAAAGAGTTTATTTACAGTGTTTACAATACTCACTCAACATCAGCAGGAACAGCTGTATATACTGTTGCTTGTCGCTTGTTATAGTGAAAATAATAGTAATACCCATAGGTAATGGTGTTATCAATAATAGTAATAATGAGTGTTGGAATGGCAGATATGGATCTTGTCATGCAGTTTAATTATTCAACCAGTGATGTTCACAGTCAGCAAACTTAAACATTTATCACTACACACGACTAACACCTGGCACAACACAACAAAAGCTAACTACACAATGATGCTACAGTGAAAGAGTAGATGAATGTAGTTTGACAGTGTGATCCATCACTGGTTGGGGGTCCCTATGGGGGCCGAGTGGTTAGGGCTCATGCCATATGGGTGTACTCTTTACTGCAAGTCTCTCCCCCACTCTCTCTCCTGTATTTCCAGTAAAGGCGTAAAAATACCCCAAAAAATACTAAATAAATTGTAGTTCCCTTTAAGGAAATATACACGATTCCAAAAGTGTCTTTGGTCATCTTTAATGTTTGTCCAGTGTTTAGAAAGATCAGTGAATGTAATTTAATTAAACTTATACTGGAATTGAATGAAGCAGAGTTAACATGGTCGAGCGGGTGATGAGGTGAAACAAACATGCTCTGTGCTCAGCACAGTGGTGGAGCGGAGACGTCAGGCAGAGTGATGTTTGTCTTGATCTGAATCCTCATCATCACAAGTTTTCCAGGATTTCTTAGTTTTTATGCTCCATTTACCCAGTGAGTCCCTTTACTACATAAGACTTACCTTTTGAATATGGTCAATAACAGCAGAACCGACATGTGGCTAATGTGTTGCATAGCTGTTACTATCATGGCAATACATATTTACAATACAAGCCACAGCCACCCATTCACACACACATTTTCCTACACATATAGCACTCTTCTAGGTATACACACATTCACACACACCAAGAAACATCAGGGTCGGTTTTAGGGTTTTGTATCTTGCCCACTTCAAAATGCAGCCTGGAGGAGCCAAGACTCAAACCACTGACCGTCCGCTTAGTGGACAGCTCTGCCTCCTGAGCCACAAACGCCCTGCATCGTAACATTGTAAACCTGCTGCTCCTTCTCTTGGCTGTGGCAGATAATGTCTCTGCAGGTATTAATGTATATTGTTTGTGCACCAAGGATTTAGCATAAAACTCGAACATTAGATTTTTTGTAACACAGTGCAGCTTTTCATTTGCTGCTGAATTCTCCAGTCAGGCCTCTTGGTAACTCTAAGCTGCTTTGTTGTGACTACAGACGAGAGCCCAGCAGTTAGTTAGAAGTAGCGTGCACAGTCATACAACAGCTGATTGGCTGGGTGATTCGCGGGCCTGGAACTAAAACACACATGATTTTGAGTGTAGGTCTGGATCTGGTTCTAAAACACGACACATGAGAGGAGAGTGTGTAATTGACCATTGTGCTAATCGTGCTAATTGAAACCTCTGATGGCCCAAAACAACAGAAGAGTGTGGGGAGAGTTCGTAAGCAGATGAATCCGACTCTACAGGATTTATAATGTGTCTGAACTGGAGGGAACTCACAGGGCTTTGAGCTCAGCTCTGCTGGCACTGACAGTTTGGACCATATTTATGCTTCAGGCTGCTGACAGTTCTTTATCAGTGCAATACTGTCAAGTGCAAACACTGCAGTATCATCCTACTGTATGTATAAACAGCCACTAAAAGAATAATGAATCCATTCTATCAGTTTATTCTAAATTAGTTCACACACAGCTTTTACTGACGTAATTTCCTGTTGTTTCCAGGTGGAGCGTATTACTTGATTTCCAGGAGTCTGGGACCAGAGTTTGGAGGCTCTATCGGTCTGATATTTGCCTTCGCCAATGCAGTGGCTGTTGCCATGTATGTGGTGGGCTTTGCTGAAACTGTTGTGGAACTTCTCGCCGTAAGTCTCTCATTGCCTCATGGTGCTTTTAGACAGTTTGTGATCACTGCTGTGGCTCTGAGTGAAGCCGACCTCCCCCCAGGTCGTGCTGCAGCTCACTGCTGTGGACCAACACAATGAAGGTTAAGCATATGTTACACCTTTAGTACAGTAACTTTAGACAAGGTAACTAATATCAATATTGTTTATTGGCCCTCCATCTATCCATCCATCCATTAGTCATACCTAAACATACAGTTGTTCCAATACCGATACTACCGATCTATACAGGAAGTTGAGCTCCATAGGCAGCTCTTGTTTTAGAGCAGCGAAGAAGAATTGATTTCCAGTAAATAGCAAAACATGTAACACTGAAAAGTCCCAGCAGTAAAAGTCAACGTGTTGAGTATGTAAGGCGGTAATTTGGAGGGGTGGATCTAGTGTAGGAAGTTTTATTTATTCCTACATGTATTTATTTATTTATTCGACTGACAGTCAGATTAGACATTAAAAGAAGGATTGTGTGGCGTTCATGTGTCTGTTCATGTTCTAACCTGAGCCATGTCATACAACAATGACAGCAACCAGATCATACCCACAGTTTATCTGCAGCTGATGTGAGCTTTAGCTTCTGAGTTAGGCTTCTTAGTGTTACTACCATCCACATCAGCTCGGCTCAGAAGCACAAAGACACTATTTTGCCCAGTATTATCTATAATAATTATATTATAATCAATCTTTTGTAACATCAAGTAACTTTAAAAATCCCCAAAGAGTTCCAGCATTTGCACTTTAGTGGTTCATTGTTGTTCCATCTGATGCCTCCTGGTCTCGTCTCCCAGGGTGCAGACGCTCTCATGACGGATCAAACAAACGACATCCGGATCATCGGCACCATCACGGTCATCCTCCTGCTGGGCATCTCTGTGGCAGGAATGGAATGGGAGGCCAAGGTAAGAACAGGACTAGAACCACTCATACACAGTGTAACTGAGTCAGACATTGGTCACTGGTGACTAACACTCTGGATGATTTTCTTCTCTGTAGGCGCAGATCTTCCTGCTCATCGTCCTCATCACAGCCATCATCAACTACTTCATCGGAACCTTCATTCCTGTCAAGGCGAAGGAATCTGTTGGCTTCTTCGGCTACGACGGTATGAAACGTCTTATGTACAACCTCCACCCTCTGACAGCAGAGATGAGCTCCAGCAGTGGCTTGGTCGTGTTTAAACCTCTGTTTCCCCGTCAGGTGCGATCATGTGGGAGAACATGGGTCCGAACTTCCGGGGAGAGACGTTCTTCTCCGTCTTTGCTATCTTCTTCCCTGCAGCCACTGGTATTCTGGCTGGAGCCAACATTTCAGGAGACCTCGCTGTAAGCCCCCCCGCCCCCAATACACACACACACATTTCACATACGAGGAATTTGCTTTGGTGTGTTTGTGCATGTTGGTGTTTTATACAGTGCTTTACAGAGGCATGGAAATACATTAAAAATCGAACATTAAGATGACATTAAAATAGCATTTAAAAACAATTGAAATAAAAATTTTTTTTGATTAAGTCACTTCAAGATTACATAAAATCAGGTAAGAAACTTAGAACAGTGATTTAAAAGAAGTGCTGCAGCAAAGTGAGCAGACAGTTTCAGCAGATCTCAGGTGTTCAGGAAGCTTGTTCCACAGGTGAGGAGCAGAGGAACTAAAAGCTGCTTCACCTTTTTTGGTTCTGGTTCTGGAACACTGAGTGAACCTGTCCCAGATCACCTGAGGGGTCTGGGTGCTTCATGTCGTACAAGTAGGTCAGAGATGTGTTTGGGCCCAAGACCATTTATGTCTTTATAGACTAGTAGTGGGATTTCAAAATCTGTCTTCTAAACACAGGAAGCCAGAGCAGTGATGGTAGGACCAGTGTGATGTGCTCCACTCTCTTGGTGTTAGTGATATCTTTTGAAGACACCATTAGAACAGTCAAGTCTGCTGAAAATAAATGTATGAATAATTCTTTCTGTATCCTGTAAGATGAAAAAATATAAAGACAGATGAAGCAAAGTCAGTGACAGTGGGGTCTCTGACCTTGCTGATGAGGCCAACTGCAGCCAGGAAAAAGTTCTTTTTACACAGTGAGGTTTTAGTCCTGATGGACCGCAGCCTCCTGCCACAGGGGAGGGACTCAGAAAGTTTGTGTGCGGGTGGGAGGGGGGGTACACGTGCTCGCCTTAGGGTCCTGCAGGTGTACAGGTCCTGGAGGAGTACAGGTTCGGGAGGTGTACAGGTTCGGGAGGTGTACAGGTTCTGGAGGGTTAGCAGATTGCAGCCAATCACCTTCTCAGCAGAGCGAATGGTGTGCTGCAGTCTGCTCTATTCTCATTGTGTGTAGATTACTCTGCGCAGATGAATATGAGAGATGCTCTCACAGATTTGGGATGAAAAGGTTTGTGCAGTTCTAGTTGATCTTAACTCTGGGTTGTTGTTTGTTGCAGGACCCTCAGCTGGCCATTCCCAGAGGAACTCTACTGGCCATATTGATCACAGGAATAGTCTACCTGGGTGTTGCTGTTTCAACAGGTGCAGTAGTACCTACTGTTTATCACCTTCTCTGTTCCTCTCATCTCTCAGCAGAGGTTTAATACATACATGATCCGTTTATAACAACAGGCTCCTGCATCGTGAGGGACGCCACTGGGAATGTGAATGACACTCTCAGCTCTCAGTTCATTACGAACTGCACTGATGCTGCCTGCAAGTTCGGCTACGACTTCTCCAGCTGTAAGAATACTAAGTGCAACTACGGACTCCAGAATGACTTCCAGGTACAACACAGCTCCACATGAGGTTTGAAGGAACATTTCAGAAAGAGAGGTTCAAAAAAAAAACATTAGTTGTTCGGGTGAGAGAGTTCAACATGTGTTTAATCTTCGATTCAGGTGATGAGTATGGTTTCTGGTTTTGGGCCCATCATCACTGCAGGAATCTTCTCTGCCACTCTATCCTCAGCTCTGGCCTCTTTAGTCAGTGCACCTAAAGTGTTCCAGGTAAGATCCCACGTGAACTACATCAATGTGTCTAATGAGTTACCCTAATTACTAAAACTCTACATGGTGTTTTCCATCTCCACAGGCTCTGTGTAAAGACAACATCTACCCCGGCCTGGGCATGTTCGCCAAGGGCTACGGCAAGAACAACGAGCCCCTCCGAGGCTACATCCTGACCTTTGGTATCGCCCTGGCCTTCATCCTCATCGGTACGGCTGCACACGCTGCTCATTCACACTCTGACAGTTGCACATTGTTACTGTATGACATCACAGGAAACACTAACGAGACTAAAAGAGCAAATTGACCATTAGTTCCTAGATTCGTTGCCATGGAAGTTTTGGTCGAGGAGAGATTTTGACCTGACGGTAGTTTTTGAGCAAAATCCAGAATTCAACATCTTGATACACTCCAGCCCAAAATATCACGATATACGATAATATCATGGGCTATATTAAGTTTTGTTTGTCACGTGCCAAGGTCCAATGTACAGTAAGCAAAGAACAGTGCAAAACAGTAAAAAATAAATTTCAGTAATATGAAAAATATTGCACAATATCAACCCAAACCTACCTGAAGGTGGAGCTAAACAAAACATGAAGGACTTCCTCTGAGGACCTCTACCTGTCGGAGCACTTCTACCTGTCGAGCTGCTTGACTCGGTGTTTAACAGTCCAGTAAATGGACTGACTTGTGCTGCAGCACTAATTTCTTGATGCCAACAGGATTCACTGGGCCTTGTTCCAGTATGAATTGAAGTTTAGAGGTTTTGTAGCTCACCTTGCTGAAAGGATCAGCGATCATGAAGTTGTAGGTGTGAGCTTTGTTCCATTATGAGCTGACTGCTTCATGTTTTCTTGTTGCAGCTGAGCTGAACACGATCGCTCCCATCATCTCCAACTTCTTCTTGGCGTCCTACGCCTTGATCAACTTCTCTGTGTTCCACGCCTCACTGGCCAACTCACCAGGTAAGATCAAGACCCAGAAACTGTTAGATCCAGGGGTCAGACAACATCAGCTGAGTCACGAGTCACATGGTCTTTAACAGTGATCGTTATGGGAGATGATGGCTTTCAAAAGGAATTACTTGAAGCACTTAGACATGACGTGAGCCTCAGTGCCTCAGAGCCGAGAGCCCGGTCATGGAAAATCTGATGGAGAATTAATGTGTTTCCTCTGGTCACTGCATGACTTGTCATTTTTGTCTAGCAGGGACATTGATCAACAAATTTCTGAACTGTTGTCTGGTAACATAAGTGTAATGGAGATCAATAAATAAACACAATGACAACATGCTACACGCAAATATAAAGTCTGTACATCACAGTTCAGAGCTGACAAAACAATCTCACCTCAAGGTTCACTTACTCATTTGTTCCTGAGCTCTCAGCAGTATCACACAGGTTTCATTTGTAGACTGATTTTTACTCCATTGCAGGATTTAAAACTTTGATTATTCTGAGAACTTAAAAAAACTTTTTAAAATGGTTTTAAAATGTTTTGAGAAATCAAAGTTCATTTGGAAAATTCTCATTTTGTCAGTACAAACTTTGAAACTTCACGAATCATCAGATGTAGCAGAAAACTTATTTACTGTAACTGTAGATATATAATGCAGTCTGATGTCTGATGTGTAATCTCAGTGTTGTAATTGGCTGTTAATATTAGTCATATTTATAGTAACATTTATTTTATGATGGTGTTTCCATTACACTCCTGCCTCCCCCTCTACAGCAGTGTTACTGAAACACTGCCACATCAGATGAGTTATTTTAAATGATGATGAATGACAGTTGTTAAACTGGAACAAAAACCCTGTGGCCCTGTGAAGCCCTGAGAAACATCATGTCACTGTTATTTTGTTGTTTTGTTTTGCCTGCTGTCTAATGACACGCCAGGCTAGTTTGCCAGCAGCTGTAATGCAACTGGGACAATACACCAGCATGAATTATCTCTGGCTGACAAACTGGGTATTATCACTTTACACTGAGGTGAGGGTTTTGATCTCTAGTAGGTTTTTCAGAGGTCATGTTGTACAACATACTAAAAAGAATTGCTGTTCTATTTTCTAGTTATGACTTTGTACAGGGTCGGTTCACCAAAATTATAGAAAGGCATTCTCACTTCCCTCCACTTGTTTCCATCTGTGCAGATAGTTTATTTTAAATTTTTCACCATGTGTCTCTTTCTCCAACACAGTGGAGTTTAGCTTGTGATGAAACAGAAACGGTTCTACTCTGTCACTGTTTACATCTTTTGCTGGCGCTGAGAGGATGAAGTCATTTGATAAAAAGCTAAAATGAAACTCTGGATAATGTGTTCTCTGCAGGTAACATCTGTAACATCACTCTATGATTGACTGTGTTTCAGCAGCTCAACAAAACAAGCAAAGTCATGACTGAAAGAGTCTAGTTGATGGTGTCATGTCAACTTTCGGAACCAGAATCTCCCAGTTCAACCTTTATGTCTATCAACATTTATCAACATTTTAAGCTTATCGACGTTAAAGCTTATCAACGTAATGGTTGTGTGTTAAGATCTGCAGCTGTTAGAGAATTTCAGTGAGCTTCAAATCCTGAGTACTGTATCAGGTGCACAGCTGTGGTTGACTCAACAAGATAAAGAAAAAAAGGCACTCACAGTTAAATAGTCTGATTAATATTTCAGCTATAAGCATCATCAGCGTAAGAAACAGGAGTAGATCACTTTATATACAGGTGAGGTTTAAACATGATTGCCTGATGATGAATCTTATATCTTCTGTTGTCCATCTCATTTGAAGTTGCAGCAACAGGTTGTTAACATGGATGAGACGACCACTGAAAACTGGCTTCTCACCTAACAAAACATATAAACAGAATCTTTGAGTTTTAGTTTTTTTATACATTCAATTACTTACAAATATCAAAAGCTAAATTTGATAATTAGAAAGGATTCGTGTTCAGTCATAGACTGTAAACAAAGATAGACGTAGCCTCTGTGATGCCACCCACAGGTTTCTGAAGAGCAGTTGTGAAGCTCAGAGTGAGCTGCTCTGCTGTTGCCATCTTGGCAGTGTCTGACTCCAGGGGCATGTGTGGAGCTGAGACTTTGGTGCATGCTAGTTTGTGGCAAGCATACGCTCACCCACCTGTCACCTTATCATATCTTTAACTCATAAAATGGGTGAGTTATATAAACAGGTGTCATGAAGGAGGAAATTAGCTCTAGAGACCAAAACTGTTTTGTACCAGGCTGTAAACATGTTTATTTCTGCTGTAAAGTTGGACATTTTAACATGGGAGTCTATGGGGACTGACTCACTGTTGGAGCCAGACTCTAGTGGTCATTAGAGGAACTGTAGTTGGTGCTTCAGTGTTGGCTTCATGTTTTCACCTCAGAGGTTGCTGCTTGTATTTGATAAGCAAAGACAAAACTAGATTTAGATTCTGCTCTAACCGTGGTTAAAACTGTGGTGTTATCCAGAGTGATGTAAACACTGTTTTGTCTCCACTGTGTTGGCGTGGAAATGGAGATCTCCGACACAAGTATCCAAATGTAACCCAAACCATCTGCATGGAGTTTTGTAATTTGGGTGAACTGACCCTTTAGACTGTAGAATGAATGGCTGAATAAAATGCATATAGTTGTTTCTTATATATTGAGCTCTGTGCTTTTCTCCCCCTCAATACCAAAGCTATAGCAGAACTTCAGGTACAGATTCTTTATCTGCTTCTAATTCCTCTGAGAAGGTCACATAATTACACGGGCTTAAACGGTACATGACTCAATCAAAGGGCAGCAGTAACACAGAACCATAAACTGTAAACCACATTTGGTGTCCTGGCCTCTACAGGGCCAGTCTCTCCCCACTCTCGGGGACGCATAAAACCCCTGCATGGTACTGGTAAAAACAGCACCATCAATGTACCCTTTATGTCCTGTGGTTTGTTTTAGACTCTGTCATTGTGTAACCACGCACAGTCCAACTGCATCCCATCACTAAAATCCCACTAGTCTAGTTTCTGTGGTTCCAGTGAATAAAATGGTCCCTAATAGCTGGTATAACCTCCTGGGCTCCAGTCTAACAGGCTGCTAACTCCCATTCTTTAACCCAACTTCAACTTTAACTTGATCCATACTCTTTAACAGCAACATTTACTGAAGACCATGTTAATAATGAGAATGATTGGAGAAGGTTTCCCTTTATAGAGGATTCCCACCGTAACTTCTGATTCTTAGTCTTCTGAATTTCAGGAGTCAGACTTCTGCTGAACCTTAAAGGTATACTATGCAGGATTTTCCTAAACAAGACTAGGTCAGAACCAAGTATATGTCTGGTTTCTGCCGTTCATCTGTTTGCTTCTCTCCTGCTCTCTGTGTGCTGTCATTGCCAGCAAGCCATGGTTCTGTCTGTATTTTTATTTTTTTTCAACATCACAGTGCAATAGCAGGTGATCTGCTTATAGCATGACTGACAGGCTTGCTTCAACTTCAACTTTTTGTGCCAGTTCATTTTGAAAGAGCAACAGCCAATGGGGAAACTCTGTCAAATGGCATTCAGCTGAACAATGGTGGAACTATGATCACTCAGTCAGTAGGGTTGTATCCAGCTGCTGCAGTCCAACCGAAAACAGTGTATAGACTCATGCAAAAGTAATCCGTCCCTCATTGCTTATGACTCACCGGAAGAGACTCCGCCCTCCACCTGTAGTTTCTTATTTTCTGGCCGTCAACCTTTGGACAGTGGATATGTAGCCCCCAGCCAATACCAGCTCGCGGCCATGTTACATCCCGGTCTGCGTCACAGATGTGGGGGTGGAGCTAACATCGCTCCCTCTTTTCATTCACTCTCTAGCTCACTTTACCACCACTGCTATCTCTCTCTCGCTCTCTCTCTCTCTTGCGTGCGTACCCATTGAGCTGGGGAGGCAGAGCCAAATATGATGGGTGTTTTTACAAACAGCAACCAACAAATCCTGCATCGTATACCTTCGATATGAAGTGGATTTCCTCAGTTTACCATAATCATTATAATACCCATACGTGATGACTAGCACTCTTAATATGCTTTGTGTTGGTTGCTGTGTTGTGACTTGTGTTGGTTGGTGCTGCAGGGTGGCGTCCCAGCTTCAAATACTACAACATGTGGGTTTCCCTGGCCGGAGCCGTTCTGTGCTGTGTGGTGATGTTCGTCATCAACTGGTGGGCCGCTCTCCTCACCAACGTCATCGTCCTGGGTCTGTATATCTACGTCAGCTACAAGAAGCCAGGTGAGTTTGTTCCACATGTTCATGACAGTGTTTCTTGTTTCCAGCCACTGTTTATAAGAAACTTTTATACCCTCAGAATAATTTAAAAGATGCTGTAATTATGAAGACATATATATCAATATGTGATAACTGATAAAAATGATATATATTATGATTATTCTGAGGTATTTATGTAAGCTGTTTTTGGTAAATAAGCATTAATTAACCTCTGTGGAGTTAATACTGGACTTACAGAAACATGTAGAACAGTCTGAGTCAAACACAGAGTTCTGGAGCTCACCTCAACACGACCAGGACCGTCATGCTGTGGCATCTACCGAAGACCAAAGCGAAAAATATTTTTGTGTGAATGAATACTTCACACTGCTGATTGATACTGAGCCCTCACACACGTCTTGCACCTCTTCAAACACAAAGCTGTCCGTGGGCACCTGTGTGCACACTCAGTTTGACACACAGCTACACACACATACGAAGCCTTCTCAGTGCCTGCGACGCCACGTGAGTCACATGGCCTTTGGCCCAGCAGCACGACCTGTAAACACTCTCCCTAATCGCACTGTGTGTTTCTGCCTGCATGCGTCCTCCCCTCCAGATGTGAACTGGGGCTCGTCGACCCAGGCTCTGACCTACCACCAGGCCCTGACCCACACTCTGCACCTCAGTGGAGTGGAGGACCACATCAAGAACTTCAGGTACCAAACACGAAGAAGCACCCCCGCTAAAGACTAAACATGCATGTAGTTAGTGATAATAACACTGAAGCAGGCTGTGTTAGCATCTTTTTGTATCATATTGGCATAAAGTAACATACTTACCATATGTGGTGTTGAGGATTATGTAAGAGGTTAATACCATTGTAGCCAGTCCTGCACCGCCCTGAATGATAAATATCCAGGTCAGACGAGGTCACTTCCTCTTCCTGTCACTCCACTCTGGCTGGTCGTTGTGTCAGACACATGTTGGAAGCAGAACTGAATGCCCATCATATGTACTGTATGTACTCATGTATACATGTACCAGGTCATACCTTATTCTGTTTTACACAACTCCTGTTGTCAGTTTGGATACGCCATGCTAGGCCTGCTGGGAAAATCTTTCAAATATTGGTGCCAATATAACACCATCAACAGAACATTAACCCTTTCAGTGTGACAAAATGTGTCAACTGCCAAATGCATTAGTATTAAATAGGTTGTGCCGATGGACAACGATACCAGTGATCGACGATCATCACAACAATCACCTGCTCATGCCTTTGCAAATGTCAAGAGGATATTTGACTTGATTTCCCATTGATGTAGTAACTTATTATTATTTGTAGTATTAAATCAATATTAAATTTAATTTGCCCTTTCACAGTTTCATGTATATAACAACATATAACCATGTTTGCAGTACACGCACACACACTCCGATCAGCTGATTGTAATGGAGCTGCTTGTTGTGAGTAGCAGCTGCTGTGATTTAAGAGCGGATGACAATTTTGTTTTAACATACCCATTGTCATCTTACTGTCATCACCTAGGTTATCCATGAAAGAGAGAGAGAGAGAGAGAGAGAGAAGCAAGCAAAACACACTCACTTTTGTGGTAACTCCTCTTTCTCTCTGGCTCATAGGGTACAATTGGACTATGGTTAAGTTCGTGCAACCATAGTATTACCAACCATAGTAGTATTAATTAAAGCACATTGCCTTAATACAGTAAGTAAAGTTTTCTGATAGATCAAGTAAACAAACCTAAAACCAAACATTCAATACCAACTTCGTCTACTTGTCAGTTTTCAGTATTTGATGCTGTGGACACGTTTCAGGCAGTACTCAGAAATGATTGAGCTTTGATAAACACTTACATACAGCAGCTCATAAATAAATAACAGCTCAGATGAATACTCCATATGAACTAAGCAAAAAGTGAGCTTGGTTGTGGCGCAGTTTGTAAACAGAAGACGGCATTGTGGGTGAGGAATAGCGGCGTGCAGACAAACAACTTCCCATCAGAATAAAATCAGAGCAGGAGCAGGATGCAGATTGTGGATTGTGATTCTAATCAAAAAGATTGTCATATGATCTTTTGGTCAGATTGCCAAGTCATAACGCAGCCCTGCAAATACATGTGTTAAGGTTTGTAAAAAGTGGTTGGATGATTGTTGGAGGGAACTTATTTTATGCTGTGGGTTGAAATTTAAAACTTTATTGGCGGCAAGAGGCTGGACGATATAGCTGAAATTATTATTCCAATATCAATAGGATAATTTCCAATATGCATATAAGGTATATCATGATATGATAAATGTTTCACGTGTCAAATTTTATGAAACATTTGTACAGTTTACAGTTAATTTGTACCATCTGGACGTGGAGGCCGAGGGAAACATATAGGACTTCAAAGTATCTTTAGTATTCATTTATCGTCACATGCAACATGCTAACTACAGGTGATTAGAGTAGGATTAGCGTTAGATAAGAAGAATAAGACAACTAAAGCATGACTTGTAGACACATGCTGGATCATCAAATGGTGTTTATTGGTCAAATTTCTGTGGACGATCCATAAACTAAAGTATTTCAGCACATGAGGCCAGTGTTCTTTGCAGATCCACCATGCTGGTGTTTGTGCTCTGGATGCTTCCACATGTAGCTCATCGTGTCATGCTGTTTCTGAGGATGTATTAGTGATGATGTTCCCATGGCAGCAAACCAAGCAGGAGATTAAAAGGCATCTGATGGTGTCCTCAGAATGACTCGGGCGTTCCTCTGAGCTCCTTCATGTCTCCTCTTACCGCCTCCATTAAATCCCATGGTGCTTAACATATTTGCTTTGATGTGCGCTAGTCTGCTCCTGTTGTTTTGTCCTGTGCTGAGGAGACGAGAAGCTGCTGTGAAGGTCGCAGGGAAAAGTTGCTGCAGATTAGAAACTGAACTTGTTTATATATCTACAGTAAAAACTGACATTAATGCTGCTGTGTCAATGTTTTCTGTCTGACTGTAGACCCCAGTGTTTGGTGATGACTGGTTACCCCAACTCTCGCCCAGCTCTTCTGGACCTGGTCCACAGCTTCACCAAGAACGTGGGCCTAATGATCTGTGGTCACATCCGCACGGTGAGCAGATTCTCTACTGTTGTTTGTGTTTGTGGTTAATAAAAAGACTCATGATGCTCTCAGCTCAGACAAATACCATATTATCGATCAAAGTGTCTAATGAATGTTTATGATATAATGTAAACATGATGACTACAGGTCACACATTAGGGATGTCACTATAATCAAAACTATAACATATAATCTTAATGAATTATAATCAAAATTCAAAGTTTCTCCCACAAAGGCTGATGTCAGAAACTGGTAACCGAGCTGACAGAGAGGCTCCAGTTATGTGTAGTGAGTCTGTAAAGTCCTCACCCAGCTCTGAGGCTGAGCCTTAAAAGTGGATGGGTGGATGCAGGAGTGGATAAGACCACAAGCCTTTTGTCTGTCAAATCACTGCACTTTTAATTTTTTTCATGTTTATGTTATAATTAATCTGAGCTCGTTTAAAATCTATGATGGTCGATGAAAATCTGTCCTCATCATAGCTTTGACACTGAATGGAACATTTGTGGGCGGTGGTTAACTCTGATGATCTGTTCACCTGTTGACCCAACTGTTTGAAGGTCAAATATATTCATCAGATGTTCTGCAGATATTTGGTCTCAACTGTAGCCTGCGTCATACTGAACTTTAAAGGTCAGTTTTGATATTGAAGATTTTGAAAAATCAACCAGATTTAATGAAAACACAAAACATAATAATATTTTTGATAACAATTCCTGACAGATATCTAGAGATCTGGGCATACATACAGGAGGCATTTCTTATTCCTAATCATCTGGCCTAAGCAGCATATACATATGTTCATGCTCTAAATTCATCATTCATTCATTGAGGCTGACTTTCTCTCAAACATGATCACAGCTCTGTGATGTTTAATCATCTCTCCTCAGGCTCAGTGTGACTCACCTTGGAGCTCAGAACTGAGCCTCAGTGGTGACAGGATGATGTGTTTGTTCCCGTACACACACACACACACACACACACACACACACACACACACACACACACACACACACACACACACACAGTAAAAAGCCTTTTACAAATCCAGGCCAGGCAGAACGGCTTCACAATGGAAGAGCCATTTTGATTGGATGAATGCAGGCTCTGTGCGGTCCAGCAAGTCCAGCTCTCTGGAACACGCAACCCTCCACAAGCGGCCTCTGATCTGCCCTCGTGCTTCCATCAAGACTGAGAGAGACCCTAAGTTAAAGGGTATAAACATTCCCAGCTAATGGCGCTGCAGTTTCCTGGCTGAAGAACACCTCAGTGAACTCTTCTCTGCAGAAATAAACAAACTCCTTGATGAGGATTCAAAGCACTTTCAAAGCAGGACTTTGTTCCTCAGGTTCAGTTCTTCAGTCTGTGATTAAATTAATCCTCCTGGAAATGTGGACCTGCAGATTTATCTGTTAGCATCTCATTTGTTTCAAACTTTTAGCAGGCTACAGGCTAGGCTGTGGGATTAGTTATATTAACTGTGTGTGTGTGTGTTTGTGTGTGTGTTCGTGTTCGTTCCTCCCCACAGGGCTACAGAAGACCAAACTTCAAAGACCTGGCCACAGACCAGTCCCGGTACCAGCGCTGGCTGCTGAAGAACGAGACCAAAGCTTTCTATACCCCGGTGTTCGCCGAGGACATGAGGCAGGGCTCTCAGTACCTGCTGCAGGTGAGAGCAGCACTGCTGTGGTGGAGCTATGAGTAAACATCTCAAACGGACTAAACCTGCAGGATATCACTCAGTAAACAGCCAACAACTGCACTGAGATACGTTAGCCGTCTACGTGCAGAGATTAATTCCCAAGATGCATTGCTCAAGCCTCTTGTGGACTTGCACAACTGCCAACAACCAGCAATGTTGGCTGTTTGTGTTTAATGGTTTTAATAAGCACATGCTCTCACAGTTCAGAAATCGTGCAAGACGTTGTAAAGTTTGTTGAATTTAAGTCCAGCATTTCCTTAAAGGACCTGTTTGTAAATTTTACAATTTTCATTTTTTAAAGCTGCACATTAATCAACATTTGTTGCTCTTGAGAGAGTCAGCAGGACAGTGAGCTCTGTGGCACAGAGGAATAGTATCAGGCTCTGGATAATCAATACTTCAGTATAATCCATTTATCAGTTATTACTAATCCTAAATATGGTGTTTAACATCTTACATTTGCCAGAGAGGTGATAACCAGCCTGAGAGTGAATAAAATGAACTTAATAAGAACTGGCACCAGAATGACAGACACAGTGATTCTTACGAAAGCAGCCAGCCTGTATGAAATCACTTATAAGTCGCTTTGTATAAAAGCGTCTGCCAAATGAGTAAATGTAAATGTGCGTAAATGTAAATCATCTGGATTAATTTGATTATGTTTTCCTCTCTCATCCCACTCTAGGCCGCTGGTCTGGGTCGCCTCAAGCCCAACACCCTGGTGCTGGGCTTCAAGAATGACTGGAGGGACGGCGACATGATGAACGTGGAGACTTACATCAGTATGATCCAGTGAGTAGAGCTGCTTCAGAGAAGAGACTTCTTATCAGAGCCTGAGGCAGCAGTGACTTCTGCTAATGCTCCACCGTGATGACCAGAGTATAAGAAAGGGGGAAACAAATTAGTTACTGAGTTTTTTTTATCCCGTCTGGAAAATGAGAGGTGATGCTACATTTAGAGCAGCCTTATATTTGAGCCAGTGTTATTTAATTACATTTTTATTTAAAGGGCCATATAGTCTAAAGGTAGATGTCCATATGTAGTTTGATTATAGATCAGGTCTAGGTTCTATATTAATACTGTGAAAGTATCAAAGCCTCAGTCCACAGAGAAATGCACACAGCCTGTATTCAGACACTGAGCTTTAAAACCAGCCGTTAGGACTTCTGGAACTTTGTGATGTCACAACAGAAGTCACCGCTCTCATCCATGCCCCAAGGCCCGCCCACCTGGACCCACCATCCAGCCCAGCAGGATCTGATTTCTCTGAGTGTTTTTACCTGAAATCTGCTTTATTTTTATTGGATCACTCAGAAAACAGTCAGCCAATCAGAAGAGAGCATCAGAGCCTCCTCTCTTCCTGTTACTAGAGCTCCAGAGAGAAACCTGAGAGAGGAGATGTAAAACTACACTGAGATGGTTTTTGGTTCTTAAAACCACAAATATATCTTCTTATGGATCAACACTTCAAATAAAACACTGGAGAAGAAGAAAATATGGAGCTTTAAATTGATAAGATAAAAAATAAATATTATTAAATGTATCTTTTCACTACTGTGGTGCAGCAGTGAAACAGCTTTTACAGATGCTGTGACTCTGATTGTTTCTGGTGCATGAATACTGAATGAGTATGAATACTTGATAGTAACAGTTAAATGTGTGGGCAGCAGGGAAGCATGTTCTATCAGAGATTGTCTACTGGCCTTTTCTTTTCCAACCAATTCAGTCTTTGCAGACTCACAAATTCATGGCAACTCACACTTTAAAAAGCAGTGTTACAGAGTATGAGGTGATATGGTCAGACATGTACACACAGGCCCGTAGGCAGTATGTATCTATATTATTATTCCAGGTTTCAAGGTCTTGAGGTCAGGCAGCACTGAAACATTTTACTATATTTTCATTATAAGGAGCATCACAGACATCAAATGTCCGACCCTGTTTACTGAGTGTTTCCCATAGACCTAAATGCAGATGTCACTTTAGTCTCTGTTCCTATGGAAACAGCAGCCAGCTGAGCATCTCTGACTGGAGCTCCTGCTCTGAGCCTCTTTCAGAGTCACTCAGATCTTCTCCTCTTGATACTAAATCAGAATCAACTGGGCCTGATCAGTGTTTTCATACCTGCCACAGAGCATGATAGCAAGTTAACTGCTTAACTGCATTCATTATGTTTCTCCACTCATTTATTCTTATTGTGTTTTTCCTTTAATTTGTCACCTGCCTATACATTACAATGAGTGCTCGTTCTATTGTATTAACAGGGGAGTTTAGCGTTTGCTCATGTGAAATCCTGTTTCCCTGCTGCACCCTTTATCAGTCATGTGAAAGTATGCGTGAAGGACTTAAGCTGAACCAGTTCCTCAGTGTAGAGTGTGGGGATTATGGCATTAGAGTAGAAGGTCAGAGATGGTCCAGCCCTACAATATTAAATCACAGCTAATACGCTCAGCAATGTGCCCTTTACTTTCCATCCAGTGAGTAGCTGTGGTGGTGTTCACACTGCAACCTGCAGGACTGAGAGAGACGTTTAATCCTTTAAATGTTTCAATCTGTTGTGTGCAGATCTCTCAGATCTTTCTGCAGTGTTTATTTGTCTTCCTTTTTAAATAGTCTGTGTCTGTTTAGGTCTCTCCTCCGCTGATGTGAATCTTTTATTTATGTTTTTCCTTCTCAGCGACGCCTTTGACTTTCAGTTTGGTGCCGTCATTCTGCGACTGAAGGAGGGTCTAGATGTGTCCCATATCCAAGGACAAGGTACCACATGTGTACACACACACACACACACACACAACATAGAATGTGGAAATCAATATGGTTTATCCCGTATTGATACATAACACAATGTGGCAGATGTATCCTAAATGACATAGAAAATAATTAGACTGATTGATCAACATACAAATCAACACACAAATTGGAACAGCAGAGATCGAGATATTGTATTTATAAGTCCTTCTTCTGAGTCAAGCTCTACATTTCCCATAATGCAATTTTCACAGCCTCTTGTTGATATTATCAGAATTGTCTCAGTTCATAACTGAAAGCCTGTGTTATAAACTTAGGGTGGAAAGTTTGAAAGACAGAGGGTGTTTACCAGACAGGAAGGGTCTAACGAAGAGATCCTGTGAGTTGCATTATGGGAAATGTGGGATCCAGCGTTTTCGGAGTCCTGACGATATAGTAGGGGCTAAAAGTCAGAATATTTCTGTCTCTGCAGCTTCAAATTTGATTATTCTTCCCAAGTCAAATCTCTAGAGTGACCCTTTAATCCAAAATATTTTTATCACCCTCAAACTCTTAAAATAAAAATCTATTTCTATTTCACCATCTTATTTTTCCTCTTCTCTCTCTCTCTCTCTCTCTCTCTCTCTCTCTCTCTCTCTCTCTCTCTCATCCCACTTCCTCCCAGATGACTTGCTGTCCTCCCAGGAGAAGTCCTCAGTGATGAAAGATGTGATCGTGTCCATAGACACCAGCAAAGACTCTGATGCTGATTCGTCCAAGCCGTCCTCCAAGGCCACCAGCCTCCAGAACAGTCCAGCTATACAGAAAGGTTAGCCAGCCTCAGTGTGAATGGATCTTATATTTTATATTATATTCCCTCTTTATCTACCAAGCAGACTTTAGAAGAAAGTTGCTGTTTACTGTGACGCCTGGGTGAGACACTGTGGGAAAGAAGGGAAACAGAAAAGTGATCATTTATGAAGTCAGATGAATATATTTGCATCTCAAGCCATTAAAGCACTTATAGCCATAAACACCTTATTTATGCATTTCGTGTGTGTGTGTGTGTGTGTGTGTGTGTGTGTGTGTCTGTGTCTGTGTCTGTGTGTGTGTGTGTGCGTGTGCGTGTGCGTGTGTGTGTGTGTGTGTTGCTGAAACACAACTCCACCAAGTTCATGACGGAGGAGCTTTTCATCTTTTCATCCAGGAAATCAGTTTAACACCATTCTCACAGATCCCTCTTAATCCATCAATAGCCTCCCTTATTTTGCCTCTACACACACACACACACACACACACACACACACACGCACACAGAGAGAGAGTGAGTCCTGACAGGAAGTCGCCTCAGTGACCCATGATCCCAGTCGTCCCACTGGGCCCAGTTTGTTAGTCCACAGATGTCTTGGACCAGTGTGTGTGTGTGTGTGTGAGTGTGAGAGAGAGAGAGAGAGAGAGAAAACACCATACCATCAGTGTAGTGTACAAGTGCCACCCACACAACTCTGAGCAGAGCAAGCAAACACACTAACTGGCCCCAGATTGTGGGAACCAAACATTCGGCTCGACAGGCTGATCACCAGGCCTCATTCACACTGGACTCATTCAGTCTGGACTCAGGAGGTCGGGTGGAGTGTTTTACTGTTGTTAAATTTGGTCAAGCTTTTGATAAATGAACAACAAAGCCCTCTACTGCAGTATGCTTAGTTTTTTGTCTTAAATATTTAATGAAGGATGAGCCACATTCACACACTGAAACAAGATGAATGCCTTGATTTTTTTAATCCTCTTTGCCTGGGCCAAAGCTCCGACCTGAGCCATCATTAAGACCGAATCTGTGCCCAGTTCTCCTCTCTGTGGACCTAATTTCCACTCTGAGTCACTATGTGAGATTTTCATTTTAATCCATGCATAGTCTCAGTGGAGTTGTCCAGCTTTGAGAATTAGAACTGATTCATATGTATTTAATACTCTCTCCTGTCCATGTGTTGCTGGTTAGTGGAAACCAGTTTGATTTAACTGTACATTCCTGGATCAGATCTGCTGGTTTTATTCTGGTTTTTAGTCTGCTGGGTCTTAAAAAATATTAAAAGGTAGTAAATCAGGTAGTAAAAGTGTAAATTAAGGCTCTTAAAGGAGCTATATGTAAGTTTTGTTATTGCTAGCTGTTTACTTACCAGTCTTGACAAGAGCTTCAGCCATCATAGCGTTAACAAGACAAGACAAGAGGTTAAAATACGTCTTCTGAGCAGCTACTTGTTCAGGGAAGGCTGGCCACTGAGACAGCCCCACAAGGCTAGGGCTAGTTAGTTAGCATGCTAATATCAGTGCATGAAAAAAATTAATAGAAATAGAGGCAAAACAAGAGGGCTGCTTTTCACCTGGATACAGCTGTTGGTGAGAAAATTAATAAAGTTTGATGCTGAATTTACAACGTTTATTCTAGACTGGTAAGTAAACAGCTGCTAATGCTAATGTTAGCTTTATAGCAGTAGCAAAACTTACAAATAGCTCCTTTAAAAAGTATTAAAATGTCTTAATCGCCATTTACGAAGAATTAAATTCGAGCCGGGCAGGAAGTCGGACACAGGAACGGCTTGGAACATTTTCAGTTTTCAAAATAAAACACCCTGTGTAGACTCCTGATCATGTCGCGTGAAATGAATGAATCAATACTGGGCAACCTTATATGCTCACTATGCAAGTTGTGTAGGAACATGCAAATTAAGCAAGGGTTATGAAGGGGAACTATGCTTCTGGCCAAAAAGGAGTTAAAAAATACAACATGAAAGTCATCAGCAACCGGGTAAACTTGTTTTCTCTCTTCCAAGTTTGATGTCAGCAAATAACAGTAACATTTAGTTGACGTGCATCTCTCTCCAGTCTGTCTGTCTTGCTAACCCAGCTGGGCAGTGCGTCTCTTGGTCTGTCTGTGTCTTGCGTTCTTGTCAGCCACTTCAGGGCTGTTCTGTGACTTTGTGCTTTCATAAACGCCAACAATGTTTATAAACTGCAGCTTGGCTGAGATAACCATGTTACACATGTGTTAATATGCACATGCACAAAATGAAACTCATGCTTTCCAGCAGCAACCTCTGTGGCGTGGTTGCCATGGGTACTCATTTGACAGATGCTTTTATCTAAAGAGACTTAGAGTGAGGTTCATCACCTTGGTGTAAGAACAAAGTACTACATCTTTTTAATTAGTGAAGGAGATCAGTAGGAGCTAGTTAGACATGTGGGGCTGTTAGAAGTGTTAGAGAGGAGTCTTTAACAGATGCTGGAAGAGACAGGGAGGCTCCTGCTCTGACAGGCTTTGGTAGACCAGACCAGAACAGTCTGGACTGAGACTGTCTTGTGTGCAGGGATGGTGATGACAGACCACATTCATTAGGAACACAGTGTCTGAGAATGAGCATAAGGCTGAATCCCATCCCCTCCCCTGTGCGAGAGAGGACTCAAACCAGAGACTATAACCACAGAGACCTTTACTGGAGCGGTCAACAGAACAGCATGGTTCTCAAAGGAGGAGGATTTGTTTGGAGGCGACAGTTGAGTGAATTTCCATTTGTTGAAATTAGGAGATTTTCCCGCCTCCTCTGTGGTTCAGATGGGAATATGGGAGAATGTGTAGTTTTTGGAGAGCACAGTTGAGGTAGCAGTGTTTTGTGTTTTCAGGTTTGGTCCAGGTCTCAGTGAGCACCAGAAGCTCAAGGGATGTCTGGTTAGAGACCATACAGTCTGCCATCACTGTAACACAACAATTTATCAGTTGTAATTGTAATTATTGTATGGCCTTATTTGTTTGGCCAAATGAAAAAAACCACAGAGATTTTAATGTGTGTGCGTGTGTGCGCCTTCTGGTTAGTTACTTAGTTTATTCTCTTGGTCTCTGCCCCCCCCCCCCCCCCCCCCCCCCCCCCGGCCTCTGTGATTTCTGTTGTATTGATGCAGTGGTCCACAGAGGAATTCTTAAACTCAGACTGTTTAGTTTTGTGATCTCAAAATGAATGTGTAGTAAATATAAGTTAAAGGTGTGTTGCTGAGGTAACAGGTTACAGCTGGAAGAGTCATTGAGTTGTTAAAACATATTGAAAAGGTCTTAAAAGGCATTGAGTTGAACTCCAGGACTCCTGTGTAAACCCTGTTACTGCTCAGGACATCGAAGCTGTAGAAAAGCTTCACTAAAGGTTCTTGTGTCTTCACGAACATGTTGTGTGTTAGCTAACCGTTCTCCTCCGGACCACACTGTACATGTATGTCTGCTTTGTTGTGTTTTTATAATGTTGTGTTGTAGTATTGTTGTTGTATTACTCTACATTCTCTGTTGTACTTCATCTGAATTCATGATGGAGAAACCTTGGTTCTGAGTTGACAGCACATCAAAACAGCATCTCACCCCAATTATGATTTTTTTTCTTCTCTCCTTTTGTCTCAACTTTCCCAGATGACGATGATGATGGCAAAGCTCCAACTCAGCCCCTGTTGAAAAAAGGCAGGAGATCCACTTTATTGAGTTGCCTTAAAACTCTTCTCTCTCTCTCTCTCTCTCTCTCTCTCTCTCTCTCTCTCTCTGTCTTTCTCTGCTTTGTTTTTATCTTCCTCCATCTTTTCTTCTCTTTGGTGTGCTACTTCCCTCTGAAGTCATACTTTCCTTTCTTCACGCTCTCTATCTTTCTCTCTCCGTCACCTCGTTTTTCACACTATATTTTGAATTCCTCCTGACATACCGTCCCGCTCCCTGCTGTCTCTGTCTTGTGTCTCTGGCCGTCTGTCCCGTGTGTCCGGCCCGCTGGCTTCTCAGCTTCAGGGAATAACATTTAGTCTCTTCCTCTCTTCCTCCCGCTCTCTCCAGCTTGTAGCTCAAGCCTAGTCTTTGAAGCGCTGCTGTGTGTGATGGTGCCTTTGACTCAATCCAAGTCTTGAGTATTTCATGTTGCGAGTGTGTGCCAACATTTCAATTTCCTCCAAACTGTCTTCAGTCTTTCGCCTGCTGTTTCTCCTCTCTCTCTCTCTCTCTGTCTCTGATGCTGACAGTTTGTCTGTAGCTTTCTCTTCCAGGATGAAAACCTCCTCCTGTCTCCATGTTTCCAGCCCTTTCCACTAACTCCTGCTAACTCACAGCTTCTCTCCTGTTTGCTTGCTGTTCAGTATCGATGGTGTCTCCCCTGTGGTTCATTAAAGAACTCACTACACACTAGAAAAATATCCCAACTATGTCAAAATTTAACTTTTAAAAGTAAGAAAACTCATTCTTTCTCTTACTCATGAGAAGTTAAATTTAAAAGCAATAAAAATCCTCACCTCAAGCCACTCACAGGTTTTAATGCTAGAGTTATATAGGTTATAATAGTTTGGGATTTTTCATTAGTTTTTATTTGTATTTCGTTTTGACTTTGTGTGGTTGTGTTTCATTTAAACCAACTGAACATGAAGTCATCAGTGAACTGGACTGTCCAGCTGCAGCTCTGTGGCTCATCACTGAAGTTCATCAATAATACAGACTGATGTATGAAATAAACTGACAGAGACCGAAACAGAAGACATTTTCTCTGTTATTTTAGTTTATTTTAGTTTTGTAAACACACAATACAGATTCAGTTATCATTTTTTTAAAGCCTCATTTTTATTTTTATTCCATTTCACGAAAATGTTTTTTCACATCTAGTTTTCGTTGGTTGTTAGTGTAGTAAACTTGTTACAGACTTACTTGGTCTCGTATGACCAGTAGCTTATGGTGGCTAATGTCAGTTTCCACTTCTTTTTGACATTTCATTTTTAGTCCAACTCAAAATACTTAAGAATGACTTAATTCAAGTTAAAATTATTATTATTATTATTATTAAATCTTTTATTTAAACAGGTAGTCTCATTGAGATCTCTCTTCAAGAGAGACCTGTGTACAAAAATAAACATATACTGTACACATACTGTACATTATACATTTTCACATTAAAGAAAAAGCCTGTGCAAGTGTGATTGGAAATGAGTCAGTGTGCAAACATGAATGTCACAACAGCGAATTCATTTATACACATAAAAATGTAAAAATACAAAAGAAAAAAAAACATACAATAGTTTAAAGCAGCTGACATTACATTCATAACACATTCAGTTCAACTCTAAAATAAACCTGCCGATGTTTTTATACAGTGTCTGGAAGGAAATCAATCTACAAACCTCAACAGTGAAATTCCTTTGAAAGTAAAACCTGCTCTGCTGCTCTGCTCCAGGGTTGGCTTGAAGGCACAGGCTCATAACTCTGGTGCTGTCATCTTATTTTTAGATTTGTTTCTGCTCATCTTCACCTCCTGAGGATCGTTCTCAAAACATTTAATCCAAAATGCATAAAACAGAAAATGAAGAGTTCCTCAGAGTCATCAGTCTGGCTTTTTACTCCCCTGACTTTTATGCTCTAGAAAACAATTTACAAATGTAACAGACTTTTAAGTAATACAATATTTTCCTAAAACAAGTAAAACTACTGGTAAAGTATTTTTTAAATCCTCAAGTAAGGAATAAAATCCATAGTTCTAAAACTATAAATAAATCTGCAACACAGATCACAGCTGCAGCACTGAGGTTCAATGGTTTGTGATGTTAGTTTTTTTTTTTAGAATTGGTTAATATGTGTCACCATCAGTCCTTTTTCAAAATAATAGTCCTACTGTCATTCAAACACAGACATTATCCTAGAGCCACACTGAACCGTCCGTAGCTGACAAATCTACACAACCTTCACACAGTGTGGGGTCAACATGATTGTGGTTTTAGTTTTCTATCTTACCATCTAAATGAGTTTTCTTCTGTTGGTGTTGCTTGTGTGTGTGGTGGATGTGTATGATGTGTGGCTTTGCAGACAAGAGGAGTCCGACTGTGCCGCTGAACGTGTCTGACCAGAGGCTGCTGGAGGCCAGCCAGCAGTTCCAGAAGAAACAAGGGAAGGGCACCGTGGACGTCTGGTGGCTGTTTGATGATGGAGGTGAGTCGGAGAGAAAGAAATGAATCTGTTTACAGGAGATTAGTCCAAAGTTAAGTGTTATACACACACTGAAATGTTTGCCAGGCATCAGGCATTACCTGCTGTTACCGAAGTAAAAGAACTCATTTTCATGCTGCGCACATGTTTTCATTTGTGCAGTCAGAACATCACTTCAGTGTCTAAAAAGTATGAAAGCACCATAGAAAAAAAAAAACGAAGAAATTTGGCCTTAATTATTTACTTAAATACAAACCGAAATTTGTGTTGAAAAAATTAGATTTTGTCTAAAATACAATATGTACTGTGTATATTAACATTAATATTACAAAACAGATGATTTGTTTAAATGTCCAATGTGTGAACACTTTGCACATAAACATGTTAAAAACAGGAAGACACAGAATGAATCCTCAGCTCTTAGCTGTTGGATTGAGTGTGTCAGTGACGTGTTGATCAGTACTGACTGACACAGCTCATATGTTAATGTGTCATTCTTTATTGGACAGAAGGGTTTTGGCTGTTTATCAGAACAGTAAGGTGTACATATGTGAAGGAGGCCAGAGGCACGACTCGTGAGGTGTGAAGCTTCACATCTGATCGTCTTCATCACATCAGCCTCATCTCTGTTGACAGCAGAGACGCCTGCGCTCAGTGTGGTGCAGGCACAACTGATGTTTGGAGGCCAGTGCTCTGACTTGTGGCTCAGGTCTGAACTCCTGCTCTGGATCACAACTTATATGTTCTGGAGTGGAAGTCACATGAAGCATTTAACATCACCCCTGAAGGAATGAGAACAGAATGTTTTTTTTTTTAGTTGAACAGACACTTTATTATAATTTCACAAAATATTTTGTCCTGTCAAACACAAACACAGAAGAACTCAGTGCTGTAGATAAGTAAATGTAGATAGTCTGATAACCATACATCAAGTGTTCGTGGATGAGAAGCTGTTGAGGCGTTATGTCTTAGTTGTTGCACCAGTGACTCCTACTGGATGGTGAAGAGTGGACAAAAACCTGGGGATCTCCTCGTCCTATTTTATCGTCTACCCAAGTTTATACAAATGGAGGAAAGAGTCTGATGTTTAAGGCACAGCAGGTGTGTAATGTTTACATCATGGAGTTCTTCTCTGTATGTGAAACATCATCAGTCACAGTTCAAGTTCTGGTGCAGTTCAGAGTCCACATCCAGCCAAGTACAGACCGAACACCGAAGTGTTCTTGCTCCACCTCTTTTATCGAGGATGTGTCTGTGGCTGACTTGTGTGGACTTGTGGCAGAATGTGTCCCAGAATGCACTGCACGTGAACCAGCAGCAGTGGTGGAGAGTCTGAGCGTAAAGCTGACAACTTTTTTCTTTTTTCTTTATTCATTCAGTTGTGGTATTTGTTCAGGTGATCAAGTAACGATTAAGATTTCACTTTATTCACATGGCGTCTGCTCTGGCATTTTTGGAGATTTGAGGACTGTCTTGTCTCAGCAGCTCCTGATGTGACCAGATGGTCACCGTCGTCCTGGGAGAAAGTTTTATCTCTGCACTCTGTTGTTGTTGCGTTTAGATTTATCATAAAATTCGGTCTCAGAGTTTAAATCTTATATTTGCTGCTGCTCTTTTGTCTGAGAAGCTGAAATGATTTGTTGGGCAGTCTAACAGCAGTGCTGCCTCTGTGGACTCTGTGCGTTCTTACATGTACAGATCTGCCACCACATCTCAGTAGTAAACAAATAAATATATTTAACTAAAAATAAAGAGAGGCAGTAAGGGCCACATACGTTACAGATTAGATATCAAGTCTGTCTTTCACTACACTCACTGTCAGGTCTGCTCTCTACCTGAAACCGTTAGAGTTGAGATGATTTGGTCACAGTTGAATCAGGTTCAGGTGTTTTGAAGTGTGAGCTGCTGTTTCAAATGTAAACAGTCCTCCTGTCCTCAAGAGTCTGAACTTGGACCTGACTGTACTGAAAACGGCCTCTGGTCTCCCATCCAGGTCTGACCCTGCTGATCCCCTACCTGCTGACCAACAAGAAGAGGTGGAAGGACTGCAAGATCCGCGTCTTCATCGGAGGCAAGATCAACAGGATCGACCACGACCGCCGAGCGTGAGTACTGCTCCTCCTCCTCCTCCTCCTCCTCTTCATCCTCCTCCTCCTCATGCATGTGTCCACTTTCATGTGAGGTTACAGAGGAGATGTTAGATCACTTTTCCTGCCTAACCCTCACCTGCCGGCAGAGAACAGGATGAAGTCTTCTACAGCTCTGCTGCTCTTGTATTAGTATTCATTATGTTCATAGATACTGCTGTTGCTCTGTCCACCATGTTTACAGCCGGTCGTGGAGCCAGGTTCTGTGAGAGCAGCTCGTTAGCAGTGAACACAGAGCAGACATCTGCTTTCCTTTCAGCACCACACTCCTCTGCTCAGCTGCTGCTGACAGCATCACACACACACACTCACACACACACACTACAGATACAGTGTGTTCTGTTGATGTTGTGTTAGCACGTGTTTTACTTGTAAATGATCAGCAAATAAAGTTCTTGCCATTTTTCCAAGTTTTCAGATTTAGTGACTTTGGTTGACGTCTCTGGCACCATATTCAGGACACAGGGCAGGGACTCCACACTGTATAAAATGACTTATTACTCATGACCCCTATTACTCACTTATCTCTACTTGACAAACAAAACCTTTTTATGTTAGTTTAGATTTTAGCAACCATAAATACAAAAACTGACCTGACTTAGTCCTGAAATCATCTTTTCTAGGTAAAACGTATAATAATAATAATAATAATGATGAGCTGAAGAAGTAAAGAACTGTTCTGGTGGTTTTACATGAGTTAAAATTTACAACACTGATGACTAGTTAACAAACTATTCTCAGTTTCTTGAGCTTGTTTATATTAACCTTAGAAATAGCACTTGTACAAAGGCCACAAAGATGCAGCTGAAAGCACTGAAAAATTTTCAGTAAGTGGATCTTGTTCTCAAAATTCTTCCTCTGATTTCCCTCCATGATTCTGTCATTAAGATCAACTTGTCAGAGACTTGAAAGCACCTGAGGACAGGTAATTCTCCTGAGTGACTGTGTCACTGTCATGTGGTCTGTGGTGCATTCAAGGACCCTGAATGATAATTTAACAAGAAGTAAAAGTGAAGTTTCAAATCTCGTAAAATGATTTTTATGGTGTTATGAACTGAGAGTATTGACTGTCTGGAGAGAGAAATGAGAGAAGAATATAAAATGTTGTTGAAAGTGGTCACTAATGTAAATTATACTTTGTGGTTAATAAGTGAAAACAGAAGGAACCCACCAGTGTGGAGGAAGAAGACGCTGATGTTTGGAACAACAACAGATGATGTGAACATGGTCTCTCTGTGTTTGTTCCTCAGAGCCAAAACACTCATTTCCTTGTTATTGTGGGAAGAAGTCTCATTACTTGATTATATAACTCTCTCGATATGAAGACACCATTCCCTTCCACTTTAACTCTCTTCAGAAATGAGTTTCTATGTTTGCTATCTATTATTAAAGGAGAAGTTCAACATGTTTCCTTTCTGTGGATGAGCTGGAGTCAGAAGCTGGTTAGCTTAGCTTAGCATGACAACTGGAAACAGCTAGCTGATATCTCTACAGTTGATGAACATGCTGTGTGTTGTTTATGTGACTGTGAATGAACAGTTATGCCTATTATGTGTGTATGCTTAGTTCTGACAAACACACACCCAGTACCTCTGTCTCCAGCTGTTGCCTGGGTTACCAGATACAGTCGCTATGCTTACTGGGCAAGTCCAACCAAAAATAAAACACGTCAAACTGTCAGCTTTTTTTTCAGGTTAGCTTTTTCCTCTGCCTCCAGTATTTATGCTAAGCTAACTTAACCATATGCTGACTCCAGCTCTGTACATGAGACTGATAAATGAGCCTGTTTCCCAAAATGTTGCACTGCTCCTTTAAAGATGGAACGTTTCAAATATGATCTTTATCTGCATCAACCTGAACCTTCATGACAGAAACAGCACAGAAGCATCTGTCACCCTCTGCTGCTAATACACACGCTCTCTTACACACACACACACACACACACACACACACGCACACACACACACACACACACGCACACACACACACACACACACGCACACACATACACACACACACTTTCTCTCTCTCTTTTCCCCCCACTCTAACTGTCTCTCATTGTCTCCTACAGCTGCCTCCTACTTCCTTTTGTTGGATAAAATTAGCTTGGTGCTAGCAGCCGAGGCTTTTATCTCAGCGTGCACTTTGAAATCCCCTTTGTGTTTGCTGCAAAACTACAGACTGTCCATTTCAACGGATTCAATGTTTCCCTGTCAAACATGCACAGACTCACACAGTATGTCTTCACCAACAGGCAGATTTAATGCTGTGTGTTTTTTGATCTCTGCAGTAATCACAAATTGATCAAATTGATCTTCGTGTGAATAATCTGATATCGACTTTACAGTCTCCTGTGGACGTGTGGGGCTGTAACCTTGTGTGACCAGCCTCCTCGTGCTACGAGATCTGGTCATGCGAGAGACAAAAACATGGCAGACGCAGCTCCTCTGAAGGCAGATGTGAGGCTGTATTTTCTAATTTAAAAACAGTAAAGATGGAGAAGAGCCGGACAAAAGAAAAGTCATGTGCAAGAAGAAGCCGATAGAAGAAGACCCTGTGTGCAGCTGTTCACGCTGTAGCTATACCAGCGTATGTTAGCAAGGCACAGTACTGACTGCTAAACTGTGGGTCATGTCAAATAAAAGTGCATTAATATAACATCTTGTAATGTAAATATTGATATTTATGCCTCTGCACCAGTGACAGTCAGAAATGGAGCCAAATTGTTTTCAGGTTGTCCGTCCGTCAGTCCGGCTCGTTCTCATGGACACGATATCTCAGTAACACCTTGATGGAACTTCTTCAGATTTGGCACAAACATTCATTTGGACTCAGTGATTTACTGATTAGAGGTTAGGTGAAAGGTCAAAGGTCACTGTGACCTCACAAAACAGGTTTTCGGCCATAACTCTATGAATTTAACTCAAATGTCCATAAGGATAAAATGAAGTGATGACATTTTATATCCCAAAGGTCAAAAAAACACACATACAGCAACCAGGAGGAGGTGATTCTTGTTAATAATGCAGCAGATCAGAGGAGAAACGTACAGCTTTACTTCTCTGAGAAGCTCATTCAGTAGGTTGTTGTTGTTGTTACTGAACCAAATCAGGACCTTGTGAATTGGAATTAAATTGATTCAGGAAATCAGGAGCAAAACCCAGGCCCATGCGCTGGCTCCTGTACAGATTCAAACTGTGCTGGTACGAGGAACATGGCAGAGATACAACAGCTGGAACCTGCTATGGTCTAAAGCTCTCCACACCTGACAGATGATGCTTTCAGGCTCTTTCTTTGAAGTTGAGCATAGAGGAAATGACTCTCATACACAGAATGCCACAGTAAACCCTCTCCCACCTGCCCCCGTCCTCCCAGAGACTCCACGATCAAACAGATCTTTAAAGCGGAGTCTTCTGCCTCTCAGGACGACTCGCTGCTCTTATCTCTGTCCTCAGCTCCTGGGATCGAAAATCTCTTCCAGCTGGTTTCCTGTATTTACTTGAAAGCTCTTTGTTTTTGCGCTCTCTGTGCAGGATGGCCACTCTGCTGAGCAAGTTCAGGATAGACTTCTCTGACATCACTGTGCTGGGAGACATAAACACCAAGCCCAAGAAGGAGCAGTAAGTCCTCTTCAATAACCTTCAAACAGCAAAGCTTTTCTACCAGCTCAGTCATGTTTTACCTGTCATTCCTACACATGCTCAACTCAGTCTAATGCACCTTTCTACAGCACTGATTCCATCCCTACAACAGCAGAGTCACTGATTCAGTCCCATTGTGTCTGATTTGTCATTTTTCAAACCGTTGTTAAGCCACTGTCAGTAAAATCTCTCTTCCTGCAGATGTTTCACATTAAAAGCCTGTTAACAGGGAGGGACTAGGACCACTGAGTCAATGGAGGCTTTTAACTTGAAACCAAACTGCAGAAAGTGTTGACTTTCAGTCATGGTAACTTAATAGTGTTAGATAAAGCTGCAAAGTCAAAGCAACTGACTTCGCAGTTGACTGACTTTGTTTAGTGAGAAGAGAAAGTGAGAGCAGCAGAGTAGTAACTATGACATCACTCTGTTGTTGTCAAATCAAATCTATTCATAAAGCACAATGTAAAAAAACAGCAGCAGCCAATCAAAGTGCTGCACAAAGACAAGATCAATAAATGAAATCACAAAATAAAATGTCAGCAGGACACTGTTGTTAAAGGTTATTCACTTAAAGTTACATTATGATTTAAGTTTTATGGAGTTCCACCTTTTTCCGTCCGTCATTATAATCATTAACTACTGTGGTCGATTCAGGATCATAGACCTGGATTCCTCCTTCCTCACTGACCATGTCTCTGTTGCTGTGCAGCGTGACGGCCTTCGAGGAGTTGATCGAGCCGTACCGGCTGAAGGAGGACGACATGGAGCAGGAGGCGGCTGAGAGGCTAAAGAACAGTGAACCGTGGAGGATCACAGACAACGAGCTGGAGCTGTACCGCGCCAAGGTCAGCACCTCCTACTCACTCTGTCTCACTGTAACTCACTGTATCAGTCTGTTTTAACTTCACCAGTTTGAACACTGTGTCAGTGCTGAACAAAGGTCCATATGATCACATCTATCAAAGCCTTCGCAGCAGCAGAAAATGTCAGGGGAGTGAATGTGTTTCTGGTTCACTGCAGTCAGAGTGAAACACTGTGAGCTGGTCTGCAGCTCAGTGCTGCGGCAGCTTGTGATAATCATCTGGTAAGTCGATACCTGAGTGTTTGAACCTGTGTTTGTTTGTTTCGTCTTCAGACTAATCGTCAGATCAGACTCAACGAGCTACTGAAGGAGCACTCGAGCACAGCCAACCTCATCGTCATGTAAGCTGCACGTGTGTGTGTGTGTGTGTGTGTATGTGTGCGTGTGTGTGTGTGTTGTTAGTGTAACAGTTTCAGTAACAGTAGTTGTGTTTTACTCTGCTCTGCTGATGTTTCATCTTTACTTGAAATGACCTTCAGTCACCTCAGGACAGGAAGTTCTCAAACAAAAACAACTTGTTGGCTGAAGCTTCTGTTTGAATGGAGGAGTGTTTGAGGGGCTGTTCTTTTGTAGCATCAACATCGCTGCTCCTCTGGTCTGGAGAGTGTTGAGACACGTGAAAAGACAGATGGATTCAAAACTTCCATGTGATCAGAGCTGGATGATGTGACTTCGAATCAATATCATGATTATTTCAAACTTTTACCTGCATTATGATTAATGATCTATCACATTGGTGCTTATCGGTCTTGAGCCGTGCTCTTCATATTCAGCAGTGTGATTGTGACTATTGTGTCATTATCTATGTTGCATTCACCACTGTCTGGCAGTCATGACTGATAAGAACCAATCATGACGTGAGGCAGGAGTCTGCCTCATATATTTAACATTTTGGGAAACTATATTCATCTTATTCCAGTCGGTATCTCAGTCCAAGGAAATTAAAGGCTGGCCCGACTTCATATAGAAAGAACCGGCAAACTGCTCAACATGACACACTTCTATGTATGTTGCTAACGTACGTCGAGACGTAACCAGGAAGTGGATGGGGGGGGGTTTGTAGGGGGGACGGTGTTTGCTTTTCCAATAATGGTTGGAAAATAAAATCAGATTAAGGGCCCGGCTCTACTCTGTAGTGTGGACACCAGGAGCAAACGTGGTAGTGTGTATGTAGCCTGGTATTGGGACAGAGCCAGTCTCTCCAGACATGTTATCATGCTCTTATTTTGTTAACAAACAGGGTTTTATGGAAACATTTATTTCTCCAAATATACAACACATGATTAGTTTTGGGTTCAGTACGTATCAAATGATTTAGATGAAAGCAGCCACACTGACGATCACCCTCTACTCTTCCTCTGTGCAGGAGCCTGCCGCTGGCCAGGAAGGGCGCCGTGTCCAGCGCTCTCTACATGGCCTGGCTGGAGGTGTTGTCTAAGGACCTGCCGCCCATCCTGCTGGTGCGCGGCAACCACCAGAGCGTCCTCACCTTCTACTCTTAAACGCACACGCAGAGGAAAATCAAGTTTTTAAATCTCACATCCCCTGTCTGCCTCTGGGTGCAGACACACACACACACACACACACACACACACACACATACACACACACACATCCATCCCATTTCCAGTCGACACCTCAAGGTGCAGCACATAAACTTCAGAGACGGTTAAAACACACACACAGCCACTGATGGAAATAACGCTGGTTATGTTAGTAAAGATGAAGGAAGAGATATGGGTTGAGATGTGTAAATGCTCTACAAGTAATGGAGGAATGTCAGGGTTGGGTTGGGGTGGGTGAGGGTTGTGACGTTGCCCACTCTGCTCCTTTCTTTCACTTCTTTCCAAGATGTCTGGGTTTTTCTCCTGTAGCTCCAGTTTCTTCTAATTTTACTCAGCAAGAAATTCAGTTTTGTCAAAGTTGATTTCTCTCAGGCTCCAGACCAGTCGTGCACAAAGTTCACGTTGTCGTCCTCATGAATATCTTGATGTCATACTTGTTGAGTTAGTTGGACCAGTCGTTGTGTTTGTGATGCAGCAATAATCACCCTGTTGTTTTCCTTAAGTCCTGAGATAGAACCATGCAGAATGCTTTGCAACACCTTCTAAAGCCTTATGGATGTGCCTTCCAGTTGAATCAGAAGAAATAATCTCTATCCAGATTGACAATAGTACCTATTATATTGGTGGATAATAGTTAGTTTTATTGAGTTTTTAATGTGATTCCTTCATAGTTGGAGCGTTGTGTTAATGCCGGTGGATTGCATGGATTTAATGAAGGGTCTCCACTTGATTGCAGACTTTCTCTGTCGTTTCTACTTTACCCGAATCAACATGTTTATTTTGGGCCATAGCATTTAAATTTTAGTCAAATTTTGGGGTCTTCCTTTTTAGAGCTGGTAAATATTTACACCTCAGCTACTTGATAGAGACACAATTTATCTTTTAGGCACAGCGCCTAAAAAATTGTACATGGGTCTTAAATTTAAGATCTTTTTTTTTTTTTTGGGAACTTAGTTTTTCTCGAGCCTCGTCAGGCGTTAAGCTAACTCTCCCATGTAGCTGCTGATTGACTGAATTACGTGTTTCTTTGTGTTTCTGTGTCTATGTTCTTTCCCTGTGAAGAAATCACTCGACCCAACAAGCTAGTTAAAACCTTGCCTTAATGCTACAACTATTAACAATTGTCACGAGTTCCTTTCCTCTTATAAGCCATACTGGCTGGACGGTTTGTGGGTCAATTCAGACGATAACAATCCAATAGTAACGTGTTAGAAGTGTTTCAGCACAGCGGTCTTCTGTACTGTATATGCATCTCAATTTTCTTCCCATAGTCCAGCTGCAGGGGTCTGTTAGAGCGCTGCCTGCAGGCCTGCGTGTTGCTGGTGAGGTGGTCGGTGGCCTGTGTGGCTGTATGATAGACGCTGGTCTCCCACTCCCACTAAGAGAGAATGAATGACGTGCAGGCTTCCCCCTGGAAGACTTGCTAATAGGAAGAATGTGACATGAGAATGTGTCCAGGCTGAGTAAAGCTTTACCTCTATGCATATGAGCTTGTGTTTCATCAGTACTTGTAATAAAAGTCCGTCGCTCCTTTTCGTGAACGGATCCTCTCCCCTCGGTCCATTTAAAGGGGCACGTCTTTGCTTGAATCATTTCTCTGAACAGCACTGGCACTGTGGCTCCAGTAGAAGCCACATCGATCATTTCACAGTTTGAATCACTGATGTTCTGAACAGCTCAAATGTATTTTCGGATAACCACATAGCTCTGATGTAACTACCCTGATTTAAAAGCTGGTTTCTGCTGTTACTGATCTGCAGCTGCTGCTTTCTGGAGAAGTAAAGTTACGTTTATTTTGAAGGTGTGTTCAGACTGAATGTGTCACTACTGCTTATGAAATCAATGCAAAGATGCAAATGGAGGCAAAGACACATTTGCTTGAGTTTAAATGTTTCGGTATGAAGAAAGATCCTGAGGTTTCATTTCATGAGGAGAAACAAAACAAAAGGAGATGAGTCTCTGTAAAAACTATTGAAACAACAACACGACACAAAGATGAGTGTTCAGTCTGAACACGCCTTGAGTTCACTTTAACTTCCCTCATTAATGTTCTTTTTGCCCTGAGAAATCAAGAGTCCATTTGAACAGTGGACAACCTGAGGGGGTCGGTGTGAGCAGGATGAGGTTTTCCTCCCTGTCCAGTTCAACTGTTAAACTGTTCAGCCTAGAACTGGGGATTATTGATTATCGATCAGAAACTGCCACAAAACTGATGGAATAAAACAAGGTTCTTTTTATTTGTAATCCACATCTTTTCCCTCAGAAACAGTTTTAGCATTTAGCTCGTTACTTTAATGTATCCTGTCTCTTACTGTATGCAACTTCAGAAGAGGAATGTGACACAATGCTTAGGTTAGTTGAATGTACTGTATAATAATGAACACTACCGCTAGGAAGTAGCACACATAGCCTCCTTTTCTTTTGCATTCTCTTGTATATGAACTGTAGTTAGCAGCGTGCTGTGTGTCGGCTTCACTGAGCTGTTAGGATTCACACAGCTGCGTCCCATCACTCTGCACTATGCGTTATGAGTGTGTATATACATTCAGTACATACACGTTAACTATATGCTCACCGGTGTATTGAATATACCCTTAGTAAACTTTTTTAAACCTTGAAGGTGCAGTCAAAGACCATCCCTGGTTCAGATGTAGGAGACAAAAGCGGCCCCCAAAAGACAAAATGTCTTCTTGGACCCGGTCTGGGTTGGACCTGTGGAAAACCTTCCCAAACACACTGCACATTAATAATGTTTCAGTAGAAGAGACCAGAGGAAAAGTAAACCTGATCCAGAATGTGATCCAGAACCTAATCCAGTTAGACCGAATTCAATTTTTTTTAGGACTGGTGAATGTCTGGTAAAATCAAAATCTCTCTACCTCCGCTGCTTTGATTTAAAAATCTGTCGCGCAGCTTTATGAAAGTACAACACTAAATCACTGCAGCAACACTTCCTTCATGTATGTCAGTGCAAGTATTGAATCATTTCCTCTTCGTACAGAGTAGTAAAGTACGTTAACACAGGTCACATGCTGTACTTTATGTCAGACTTGTTTCAAACACCCAGGAGTCAGAGGGAGGTTTTGATGTTTGGGGGCCGCTGGTGTGAACTACCACAAAATCGAGGAGTGTATCTTTAAAGTTGGTTCATTGTTCTGCTGTGAAGCGCTCACCCTCCCTCGCTGTTAGAGAGCAACATTACAAACAAGAACACGGGTTACTCTATATTTGTACATTTAAAGAAAAAACTATATATCTATACACATATAAATGTATCAGTCTGAGCTGGAGGGGATCTCTGTCTTTATTATGTAACTTTCAACAAAACTAAAGATCCTCCTGTCGACATTGTGCAACCAAATAATAGTGTTTGTGTGTATTGTTTTCTTCATTTACGTCCTGATAGATAGTCTCTGAAGCTTGTCTAATAATATACTGTGTTCTCTGAACAAACCAAATGTCACCTTTGCTCATACGTCAGCCGCCACGTCCCGTGACATCCTCTAAACATTGTATGTCATTTTTTTGCCAAAGCCCCTCTACTCTCCAGTCCCCCCCGTCATTGTCGCAGCCATGATGATGGATAACAGTGTAACAAAAACCATAAACTGGTCTTAATATCTCATGGTGGTGGACACCTGGTCCACACTGCAACTTCAACTAACCTGTAAATAAACTTTGTAGTCTAATGACATAAATTAAGGGAGTGGAAAAACTACGTCGAATTTCAATATGGAGAAAGATATTTATTTTAGTTTAGACTCTTCTCCGCTTTTTTTCTGTCTTTAATATTTTGGTTTTAGATGTAAGTTAATTTGCATGTTGATTTTTTTTTTTTTCTTTTGTTGCCTTTTTGATTTTAGCAGATTGTCTCTTTTCTCTTTGAGTCTGTATTTCTATCTTTTTTTCAATGCCTTTTGAAGAAGAGACATCACGACAAAGGCAGATCAAACCTGTTTTCTCCTGCTTTCACTCTTAACGTGGATGGAATCGACCCAGCCGGTTGAAGCAGTAATGTTTTGATACACTGTACTGTTAACAGTTACAGATATGCTTTTTCTAACATTTTAACATTTATGATTACCAATACTTTGTACATCTTTATTGCAATAAATAAAACAAATGAAATCAGTTACATTTGAAGTCTCCTTTTGTGCTCAGTGCAGTGGTTACAATAAGTAGCTACAAAAAACAGTGTGCTCAACAATCAACTACAATTAAGATCCTTTAAAGCAGTGGGTCCCATCCTGGGGGCTGCAGCCATAGACTGTAAATAAAGATGGGCGTAGCCTCCATGACGTCACCCACAGGTTTCTGAGGCTCGGAGTGAGCTGCTTACTGTTTCCGTCTTGGCAGTGTCTGACTCCGCCCCTAACTCCCAGTCCTCCAAGTTCACTGATTGGATAGTTGCATGATTAAGCAGGTGTATAGGTGTTCCTAATAAAATGCTCGGTGAGTGTATACACTTAACATACTGTATATTTACTACACTTTACAGACAGTTTATCATTAATAACAATACAAAAAATAACATAATTTAACAAAAGATGAAAACAAAGTTACATATATTTACAGGGGAGCAGAGCAGCTGCTCTAAATATTTTTTTATTAAAAAAATATGAAATATATGAAGGGGTTGCAGTATAGTTTTCTTTGGGGATAACAACATGATTTTCTTCATTAAATGAAACAATTGACTGGTGATCTGGAGATAACCTTAAAGGTTTCACTGCTCTCACTGGCTGAAAGTTTCAGTCTGGTCAGATGTGTGTGTTGCACCTTAACCACACAGTGATGTCACAGTGTACTGAATGTAACATCACTGCAGGTCAGAGGTTACACCACTAGAGGGCAGCAGAAACTGGACCTCCACTTGGTGTCACGTTACTGTGTAAAGCCACTGGAGCTTTTGTGTGATTATGTCATTGTTCGGGGTCTAAATAGGCATCAAGTGCAAACTGGTCATCTGTCTGTATTTTCAAAACTTGCAAAGCCAGATTTTTAAGCTACTACAGTATTCACCAGGAAAATCTATGACCACTAACAAAGAGGTGAGGTCCTAAGAGTTGTACTATACAACAGCATCCTCCTCCATCAGTTTTTCTTCTGTAGAACCACCACTGGTACTATAATAACAATAAGAACCACACAAACAGAGAAAATGACGGAAAACAGAATTTTACAAAGTCTTTTTCTTTTATGTTTGGCTTCTGTCTTCTTCAGTAAGGAGTCAAATCCTGGTGTGTAGAGGTCCTCGAGCCAGAAGTCCATATCTTTAGGAGTCTTCTCTTCCTCCTGCGTGGAAAATGAAAATACACTGAAACATCACCATGAACAAATGAGCTCTGAGGTTCCTGTGGCCATTAATACCTCTGCTCACTGATATGCATTAGTTTGTAACCTGCCTGTTGCCCTGTGTCTGTCACAGCTGAAGAGACCCAACCCAAAGATGAAATTTGAGGACATTTGTCAAATGAATGGTAAACTTAAAGTCATGATTGTTGTTGATTTAATGGAAAACAAAATTATAGATTTTAATGTAATCAGTGTTCTCTCAATATTCAATGTAATCATATTATTTTTCATTTTAAATATTTTTTATGTAAAATGAAATTATATGATTTTTAATGTAAAAAAAATCTTGTCACTTTTAATTAAAGAAATTATATATAATCAATAATACATATAATTTCCAATGTAAAAATATATATATAATTTTTAATGTTAAAAAAATTTATAAAAAGAATTTCCTATGTTTCCCTTGTTTATATGATAATAACATGGGGGCATCCACAGCAGTGATTGGTCTGGGTAATGTGCAGAGCCTGAAAAAACTTTTCAGATTATAAATCAGAATCACTACTACAATTAAAACAACTTTAAGTTAGTTGAAAGATCTGACTTCATTCAGTTAGTTTTATTTACAACATGAAGTCGTCAAATTGAATATATCAAGTCTGATCATAATCAACCAATAAAATAACCACAACATGTCAGTTTAAACACAACATGGCTGTTAGCCTCAGTCCTGTCAGTGTGGATACAGCCTGGAGAGGAGTGTGTGAGGAGTAGAGGCCCTTCATGAACAGAGGGTGGCAGTGATGCATCACATCACTGTGTCAGATACAAACCATTTAATCACAACAAGCAGAGACACTATTCATTCAGCAGCTGAATAATGACTGAAGGAGTTCAGTTTGCAAACAAGCGAAAAGAGAAAAGGAAAATGGTGAAGAGAAGTTCAACTTTTCTCTTTAAACTGGTTATTTTACTGGTTATTATTACATACTAATAATATCTACTTATTGGACATAGCAGGGACTAGTTGGTAAAAAAGAAAAGAAAAACCTCAGTGTGATGGAGTTAAGGGTTTTCCGTCCAAAACAAGCTGCTTTAACCTGTTTTGTGCAGTTGGATTAGTTTATAGTAATTTGATTAAAACCATGTCGGCAGAATAAAAACTACAGCAGAGACAGAATCCTTCTGCAAGACCGGATCACTGTGTTGTGTTGTGGTGCAAATTTTCACCAAAATCTACAATCAATTAAAATGTCAAAAACCATATGACCTGCAGTGAACCTGGGGCTTTTGGCAATGGCTCCTTATATTAACTGCTTTGCAGAGTGTGAAGGTGGAGTAACACTAATAAACACCAATTAATCCACAGCCTTCCTCCTCTTCCTCCTCCTCTTCCTCCTTCTCTTCCTCTCCCCGCATTACCTTTAAGTAACTCGCCAGGTTGCCGTGGATGGTTTGTGTGTCGTACTCCTTGACAGTCCAGGAGGGCTTGGACTTCTCGTTGTCCACTGGCTCCGTGGATCTCATATCAGAGTACAGAGGGTTCTTCTTGATGTTGGACTTGAAGGTGACTGGAGTGATGTGCTTCTCCAGGTATCTGTCCACAAACACCACAGGACTGCCCTCTGGGGACGGAGGAGAGCTGCTGTCAGGCTTCACCCTCCCCTCCCTCTGTGGAGACAGAGAGGATTTAAAGTCTCACCACATCACCTGTTTGTAGCCTCTCACACTCTCTATAGATAGAGAGGTGATAAAGTACATTTACTGTGGTTCTGTACTTAAGCATGTTTTTCCACTATCTGTTCTTTACTTGAGTATTTTGTTTTTTTTGTAAACTTCTGAATTTGATTCCACTACACTTAAAGACAAAATACTGTGCGTTTGACTCCATTACATTTCTATGAAGTACTCTTACTTTGAAGCAGAGCTATTAGTCATTGGAATGAATTTTATTTTATTTTGAAAATGTGATAGAACATACACTGTGTTCAACACAGGAGAAAAACCAATCCCAGCCAACTCCTCCACTGTCAGTCATGTTTGAACCTGTCAGTGTCCTAATGATGGAGACGTTAGATAAAGATGAGGCAGATTCTTCACCAGAGACCTGATCTGATCTGAAGTCTGTGTTTGACGGTTTTGAAATAAAGAAAGATTCATTTAGTTTAATTCCAGATAAACCTTTAAACAGTAGTTTCTAGTATTTGGCTCATTTTTCCTTTTGTTGATCCAGTTGTTTTTACATCCACGTCTTCAGTCTTTGTCAGTCGGTCGGCCGGTCGGTCGGTCGGTCAGTCGGTCAGTCGGTCGGTCGGTCAGTTGGTAGGTCGGTCAGTCAGTCAGTCAGGTTGTTTTAGGGTCATCAGGCTCTGTAAATGTGGAACAAATCAACAATGTGTTGAAATAAAAATGTACTTTTCAATGCATCACTATTCTAAAATCAAGTGCTCCAGTTCTTTCACTCAAGTAAAAATCTGACTGAACAAATTGATATTAGACACATACATGAAACCTCAATCTGAATTCTTTTGCATCAAATGATGATGACAGAGACCTTTAGACTATATGGACTTTTAAATGTATCACATATTCATAATAGTTTATTCATCATCAAACAAAAATGGACAGATACTCATCAACTGAACCTGGTGAAAAATGACACGTGTATTTATAAAGACATATATTATATTATTCTTTATTACTTTTTGATTTGGTGCACAAATTATCTCCCACCTCACTTTATTTGACTGGACCTGAAGCTCTGAGCTCAAAGCTCCTTCTGTTGTTTCACTACATGATTGTCAATCACACATTAGATCACACTCCTGTCCACCTGTATAACTCACTACATCTACACAGGTCCAGACTGTGATGAAGGTCTCTGCTAGAAGATGATACATATTATAAATGGTGAGGTCTGGGTTGGTCTGTAAGTCAAACAAGAGAAACAAGTCAGAGGATCTCACACAGAGATGAAGACACAGTACGAGGCTGTGGGAGAGTCCGTACCTGGGAGTAGACCCTGTTCTGCCAGTGTCTCTGACTGGACATGACCGCCCCGACCTGGAACATGCCGTGTGTGGCCGGCAGCATCCCGACGTCAAGCTGAAGGAACTTCTCTGGATGGTTGTTGTTGGGCAGAACGGAGATGTCCATTCTGCCTCTGAGTGACTGACTGACTGACTGACTGACTGACTGACTGACTGACTGACTGTTTCACCTGTCTGCTGCCCGCCTGGATGGACATGCTCACTACAACCTGCAAGCTCAGGAATAATTTATGAGGAGCAAGATATTTATGACCCTGTATCACTTGCAGGTGTGTGTAACCCAACCTGGCCATTAAGAGCCTGCAGCTGAGAACGACAGTGTCAGCAAGAGAGAGAGAGAGAGAGAGAGAGAGAGAGAGAGCGAGAGAGAGAGAGAGAGAGCGAGAGAGAGAGAGAGAGAGCGAGAGAGAGAGAGAGAGAGCGAGAGAGAGAGAGAGAGAGAGAGAGAGAGGGAGGGGGTCACCCGAGTGCTGTGTTATGTAAAACCTGCTGCTGCCTGGAGAGTCTTCTCTGTGCGATGCGGGACTCAGGCTACAATCCCTGATCTCTAACCTCACGTTTGCTGTGCTGTGGTGGAGCCTGAGGATGACCCCTGACCTTTCTGCTAGTTCTGTGATCAGGCCACTATTCACTGTTGATCAGCATTTTAACTCATGATATAGTGAGCTGAATCTGCTGAAAACTAATCACCATATTCTGATGCAGTCTGCTGTTTCCTTCTCCTCTAGTGCCACCATCAGGTCCGAATCTGAACTGATACGCGAGAAAAACCAAAACTGAAATGACACATATGTTTCAGACCTTCAGCCTTTCCCATGCTAATCTCTTCTTTAACTTCTACAACAGATTGCATTTATAATTTGTCATCTCATTGTCTGTTGGTTGTATATTTGAATGAATATTTAGATGCATTTAAATACACATTCTGATTGTTGTCCATATAAATACAGACATGAATGTAATATAATATATTTAAATCACTGAAATTTTGTATCTCTGTTATTAATATTTCTTTTTGTGATATATCTTATTTTGTAGACCTGGATCTCATCTGGATGAAGCATTGCAGTTAGAACCACAATCCATGAATCAGCAACTAACCCTTTAATAGGAATAAATATCCAAATATCCAACCTTTGTACTGACATTATTACGTTTTAGAGGGATAAAATGACTTTATCACAACCTGACAAACCCAGATTTGTTTTTAATGTTTTATAACTTCATTATAGGTATTAAATGATTATTAACCCTTAAGTTACAACTCGTAACCCCTTTGTAACGTGGCATTTTAATAACATAATAACATAAACATTTTCAGTGTAAGTGATTTACAATAATTACCAGCTAATTATTTTCCCAATTAATCAAGTAAACATTTGATCTATAAATGGTTTGGTAGAAAGCAGGGATTATAAACACACTCAGCTGGCTCCGTTTATTAGGTACAACTAACTAATGCAGTCTAAATCCACCTCAAGGTTATACTGTCATATATGATGGTTACATTAACCTGAACCTAACCTCAGCTACTCTAACCTGCTCAACCTGACTAAAACCTGATCCTAGACCTGATCCTAAACCCACCATTTACTAATCTGCCTGATCCCAAATGTCACTTCCTGATGAGAGCGTGAATGTGCACAACAGATTGAAATATGTTCCTCTCAGGCAGGAAGATGAAGACGGAGGCAATCACAGCGAGCGAGAGGGAGTAAGGGAGGGAGAGAGAGAGAGAGAGAAAGGAGGGAGGGAGAGGTGGGGGGAGGGAGGGCGGTTGCGGCCACATAGATGTGGATGGTGCAGCGGGGTTGCGCCATCGTTGGATTGCTCCAACGATGTAACGAAAGGGAGGAGGACGTTAACGCGGATATTTCACTTTCACCTTCTGCACATGTCCGATGTCGTCATTGGGAAACCACCGTCCTCGACAGAACCATGGATGAGCTGAGGCTGCAGCTCCGGGCTGATGCGGTAAGACGTGGAGCTTTTGATTTGCAGCACCGTGTTGTCGTGCTCTGCGCGCCGCGGCTCTGCGGGGACACACACATCAGATGATGCGTTTTACTACCACAACCCGCTCCGCGTCGTGTTGTGCTGGCTCCCCTCCTCATATATGTTTGATTTGACATCACTGCGACGGTCATATACGTTCCACACGGTGGGGATCGCGCAGATTTTCGGATGTGTGCACTTATTAAATTCGTTTAGCCATTTAGCAAAGCGTGTGGTTTTAGTTGTGAGCTTGTATGATGAAGCACGGAGGGTTGCCGCGGGTTGTGTGTCCCCTTCATTAGACTCCTGAAGTCATTTCCCTGCTGGCTGATGTTGGACTAACGTGTTCCCATCCTGAACACTGACATCATCCTCATCAGGATTCTGGCTCCAGGCAGCAGCTCTTCATGCAGCTGCAGCAGCAGCAGCAGCAGCAGCAGTCAGGAGACTCAGCACTACGCAGCGTCAATGCGCCTGTTCGGACTTGATGCTTTACTCTGCGACCAATGTTAATTTCATTTGGAATAAGGCAGGTCCTCAGCACTGCGCTGTTGCAGGGTTACACAGGTTGCATGGGCTGTTCTGGTTTTGTCATGAGCACACCGGCAGAGTAGCTTAGCCAGATGTTGCAGAGCTCTATAGAGGCCACGGTCTGTGTGCAGATACATCCACAGATATTATATCCAGCCACAGCAGCCAGTTTTACTATTTCTTCCCAATCTTCATTTCCATGCATCACTTCCCACTTGTATAATTTTTGGAACAATTTTGAGCATTTCCTATGTATTTGTCCACAGGCCTGAGGACCATACTGATGATTTATCCAGCTGACTAATTATTAAGCTACTGACAAATGTCCATGGGAAACAGTCACAGTCTTCAATTTTTAAAGAGACAATCAGCAAACTTTCACACAGAAGCTGGAACACACGTTTGGTATTTTTATTATCAAAAGATAATGTAAAAGTATTTTCCGCCCCAGGTAGATGTAACATTAGTCATGAATGAATTTCCAGCCAATTACGCACCAGTTTATCAAGTGATCATTTCAGCACTGTCTTTGTATAATTCATTCAATAAGTGATATCAGCAGAGAGAGGTTCACAGTCAGCCTGCAGCGTCCAGGTGGCCTGGATACTGTTAGTCTCTGAAGACACTGTAGTGATGGTGGAAACTGCAGCAGAGGCCAAACCCAACACAAACCCAGTGCCTACAAACATACCAAAGAGGGATGAGTGAGTGAATGAGGTGATTCATTTAAGACTAATGATGAAGATACACTGAACGTGGTGCCATGCAAAGTTTATCCTTAATTATCTTATTATAAACTATATATATAAACTATCCACCATTAAATTGTGAGATAGCAGACACCAAAGACTGACTGGTGAAGCTAAAAACATGAGGGGAGTTCTCAAGTCAAAAATCGTAACTTTGTGCAAACGAAGGCAAAAAGGCAAATCTCCATGACGGCCACAGATTTTCATTTTAAAAACCCATTGCTTTTCCTACGTTTCCTCCTGCCATCCACATGACTCTGGAGTTTTCAAGCCCTGAAAACTGAGACTTCCAAAAACTCTGCTGGACCTGTTTTAATTTGAAAACTCTGGGGTTGTGTTTTATTTTGAAAACTCTAAGGTTGTGTTGTAGTCTGGAGAGGTGAAAACTGAGTCCTCTGGAAATGATGATGTAGACACCCACGGTCTCTCCTGATTGGCTCTCATCAGCCTGGACTATCAGTGGTGAATACAACATGATAATGAATCACAGTGTCTCTGACCTTGTTGTCTTTGCTAGCAGCTGTTGTTCACATACATTCTTCAGTTTAACGCTACAACTGTCTTTGCTGTTCCTTGTTCAGAGGATTTTGTGCAACTAATCAACTGCAGAGTAGTTAATCTGCTTCCCGTTTAATGGTCCTGTATGTGTGTTTTTCAGGTGTGTGTTGGACATCATTGTCGTTTTAAAATGCCATTTTAAAATGAAAATGTAGTAGTGTGGACGCAGCCTTGGATCCCTCATTTGTATGTCCTCAGTGTCACACACACAAAATTAAGTACTAGATTCACCAACTTTTCAGACCCACCTTTTTAAAAAAAAACAGCATTAGCGATTTTGGGACAAACCTTAACTACTTCTGTAGATAAGAATCGCCAGCACGAGGTCGGGCTTTCCCTCCACAGGCACACCTCTCTATGCCTGGCTTTGAAGTGACTGTTGGTTAACATGTAGTCTTAATGGGCTGCGTTTCAGTCACTGTTTCATACTTTCTGTTGTCTGACAACGGAAACAGAAAAACTTGTTAATGAGAAACAGCTTTAATGTGAATTCAGCTGTATTAAAATACTGTATATGTGAGCACAGAGGAGGAGGGAAGAGAACAGCTAAAGAGCTGAAACCCCCTGAAACCACTAGGCTGAAGGCAGATATGACGTCATGAATATGCTATTTAGCGCATTACTTCATATAGTGACATTTAGCAACAACCTCAACTACATGCTCAATTTTGCACATTGAAGATACACAGTCCAGCCATATACTAGGTTTTAAGTGTGTCTTATTGCCAACAGCAAATCTATTTATCTATCTATCTATTTGAGCAGAATACTCATATCAGGATGCTTACATGTTCACAACAACACATATTGACCTTGAGTCATTGAGCAACCTGGCAGCAGATCTTCTATGCTAACCAATCAGGGAAGGCCAAAGTTAAAGTTATGGGTTTGCAGCTATTAACACTCACACTCACACTTCTGGACTACTATTCCTCTTGCACTGATTCTACTATTAGCTGCTGAAAGATGTTGCTATGGATGACTCACAGGTTAGCAAGCTCCCTATTCCTACATTATTTGAGACAGTGAACACAACAACAATGTAGGTGAGGGGCTGGGAGCCGGGAGAGGGAGGGGTTGGAGGAGTGTAGTGGTTTCAAGTAGAGTCTCATGCTAGCGCTGGTTTGATTTCCAGAACTTTCATATCGTAGCTTTGCCTAGGTATAATTTTTACTATGGTCACCATTTTAGTTTAGAGTATTAGCAAGCTAACATTTAACATTTCCTAACAAGCACTACACACAAATTGGACTGTCATTAGTTTTGCAGGTATTTGTTGATAAAGCAAAGTATTGAACAAATTGAAAATTGTGGAACGGGTGAAGCTGTATGGAAGCTACGTGAGCCACCATTTGAGCACCAACGACCTGTGGCCACATTTCGTAAATATGCACCCAAATGAGCAACTATACAAGTAGTTGTGTCTCTCGTTGTGTTGGTTTGCACACAATTAGATTTTTTTATGGATTAAATCAATTTTGACAGTGCTGCCCTGCAGCTAGGTGGCATAATAACACAATAGTCCAAAAATAGCAACCACCCATACGTCATTGCTGTACCAGTAGATTAAACCAAGCTACCAGTGACTGAATTGACTCTCAGCATAATCTGTTGTCTCACATATGAGCATGTATGCATGCACACTGGTCTCCTGATTTAAGCTGTCTGATCAGTCAGATGTCTGTACATGTGTCTTTGACCCTTTCTCAGTCATCTCAGAAGCTGAGGATTATTAATACCAATTTATTATCATATCATACTGAGACTTATTTCATAGATCATACAAGTCCCTCCCTGTTAAACTGTTGGCCGTCCCACATTTATAACACAGGGACCACCCACAAGTGAGATGGCACTGGACAGTATGCAGCATTCAAGAGAAAGCAAAACCACGTTTTCATCTAAAAAGGCCTCTAACAAATAAAGAGATGAGACCAGAGCACAGGTTGACTATTCACGAGGACTACCATCAAAACGTCCATTTCAAAGTTTTTACCGGCTACGTCAGTGTCATTTGTGTGGCCGGTCCCAGTGGATAAATCCAAGGCTGAATTTCTCTCCCAGTCTGACCGTGGAGCCAATACTGGTCTGGTTTTACCGAGAGGAGAACCCAACGAGCTGCTAAAGGGACCAGCTTGACCTAGAACTGGTTTTTCTTCTCCTCCATGTGTCAGTAACTTGATGGTTCATAACGTTACATCTGTTTTCATTAGTGGAAGCTACATGATAACGTTAGCTAACTTGCTGTTACTGATACTATGACATTGTTTGGCAAATGTTGCTATTGCTAGCTGGCTAATTGTCTCAGTGGAGCATATCATGGCAATGTTAGCGTGGGCTGATGGTTGTGGTTAATTTTAGTTTGTTGGCTCTCATGTCAAAGGGTAACTTCATTCAGCTGAGCTTCTTGTGTGTTTAGTGGAGGCTTTCACAGGCTTTGTAACACCTTGCTGGCTGAGAAGGTTAAGGGAGGAGAGGGGGAGCTAAGGCCAACGAACCATTCGTTGTGGTCTGAGATGCTGGTGCGACCTCTAGTGGCAGTGATGATCATTTACAGAATCTTTAACCATAACTTAACCATAATTCAGTTGCTGCGCAGATCTTGTAGAAAAAATAAATAATTAAAAAAACCTTGATTTACAGAATCATGCAACATTAAAAATTAATTTTTGATCATGAGGTTGGAGGCATATAGCAAACACATCTCCTACACAACACATATCCATATATAGAGCTGAAGTCTCAGCCATGGGCTATATTAGTGACACATGGGTCCATGGTGCTATAAGTAGCTGATGTGTGAATCTCATCTGCAGCAGAGATTCTTTTAGCATCATGGGACATTTTTTTACAGGGCATAATATGTGAGCAACAAATTGAAGGACTGATGTGGTAGAGAACACAGGCCGACCAATATGCTGCTGAGGCATGATGTGTCTTGGGGCTACTAAACTACAGTGGCAGATTTATCCCCAATATGGCCACTACATCAGGAGCATCGAAGAGACTCAAGAGACAATCCTGCAAATGGATACGGGAAATGGCGGAAACAGCATTTATAGAGCTGAAGAGTCAGCTAGCCCGCTCAAATGTAATGGCATACTTTAGTCAAGAGGCTCAGACATGTGATACTAGAGGCTA